CCGGCCACGTCGTCGGCGATGTCGAGCTTCTCGATGATGACGTCGAGGGCCGGCACGAAGAACTCGTCGCACACGACGGCCAGCGCCACGAACATGTAGACCAGGCCGACGACGTGCAGCGCGATGGCGCCGTGGCGCCGCTGCTCCATGGTGAAGATGTCGGGCGGGAAGAGTGGGGTCTTGGTGACGTTGGCGACGGACGCGTTGGCGTCGTGACCCCCCGTGCCGTGGTGGTTGTTGGTGTGGTTGTCCACGAAGAGAGGCCAGTCACCCGGCACCTCGCTGGAGGCCTCCTCGTAGGGGTCCACGGCGGGCGGCCGCAGCTGCCCCGGCCGCGGCTGTCCCGGCGGGGGCGGGCCGACGGGGGCGGCGTTGGCCGGCGCCTGGACGTGCGACTGCGACGTGCCCTGGCCGCCCGACGAGGACGGCCGGTTGTGGTTGCTGGCCACCGTGGTGGCCATCATGACCACCGCCAGCCACACGTACCTCCACACGGCCATCTCTCGCTTCTTGCGGCGCGGGCCCTGGGCCTGGCCCTTGGCTTGCCTTTGCCGGGACCAGGGCCCCGCCACGGCCCCCGGGCCTCGGCCTCGGCCAGCGCGGCCGCCTGGTGACCCTGGTGTCGGGGGTCGCCGCGCGGGCTGCATGGCCTGCACGCTGGCGCCATGGCCACGTCGCGGACGTCTAGGGCTTCTCCATGGTGCGGCGGGCTCGGCCCTGGCGGCCCTGGCGGCCCACGACGGCGTGGTAGGCAGGCCGCGGGCAGGTCTGTGCCCAGGCCTGCAGGCAGGCTCCGCGTTGCGTGGCGTGGCCAGGCGTGGCGGTGCGGTGGCCGCCGTCCGCGCTACCGCGCTGCGACCGCGAGCCCGTCTGCTCCTACACTGAGCGCGCGGCCTGCCCCGCCCCCACGCCGCCGCCGCGGCCGCCCCCCCCTGCCCCCCCGCCCCCCACGGTCGATATCGCCCCCCCCCCCAAGGCCCCCACGGCCCCCTCCAGTAAGTGTCCGGCGCGGGGATGCCACCCTCCTGGCCATGCTGGTCGTGCTGGCGGCCCGCTTGGCGGGGCCCTGGCCGCCCTGGCCGCCCTGGCCCTGGGATCGGCGGCACCGGGACTGGCGGCTGCAGCACGCCGCACAGAGGGCCAGAAGACCGGTGGAGGCGGCCAGACTCTAGACGCGTTTTGAGCTCCAGAGTCCAAAAAGGGGACTCAAACCCGAACGTGTGACCCCGCCAATGGATTCCTCGTTCGGACAGCAACCCATTGGTGGGGTCACACGTTCGGTTCGAGTCCCATTTAGCGACTCTGGAGCTCAAAACGCGTCCGGGACTTTGGCCGCCTCCACCGGTCTTCTGGGCCACTGTGCGCCACGGGCAGGAAGCACGCCTCGAGGCACGCCGTCGTGGAGGTCGGAACGCACTGGAGGCCGTTGTGGGCAGCCATCTAGCGCCCGGATCGGACGCCTTCTCGACTCGCCCCCCATTGGGTCCCCAGAGCAGCAGGGGAAAAGTCCTGGGCTTTATAATCGCTTAACTTTTGACCCCATTTTCAGCATGCTGTAGGCCGAAGTGCACGAAACAGTGGCCGTGCGTGTTGCTGAGCTGCTTGCCCTCTCGGACCTCCTGTAAGGCGCCATGTGATTTTAAAAGAGCTGTAAAGTTTTTCTCGAGGGGCAATAATTTTGACGTCTCTCCGGGTCAAATCCACCATTAAAACCATCACTGTCGAAGTGTAGCATGGACACTGTGTGAACCAAAAGTGCGGGATGATCGGCCGACGGCACTCCACTGGCAGTCACGTGACGCGAATCGCGGTGACACGGTGTCACGGCCCGATAAACACACGGCAAGCTCTCTCCCCTTCTCTCTCTCTCTCTCTCTCTCTCTCTCTCTCTCTCTTCTCTCCCCTACCTCCCCCGCAGAGGCTTTCCCTTCTCCCTTCCACTCATCACCTCCTCTCTGTTCATGCGAACAAAGTCCACAACAACTTCATATTGGACAGGGGGAGGTCGGGGTGGAGAAGGTCGGGGAGGTGGAGGAGGAGGAGGAGCAGGAGGAGGAGGGGGAGGGAGGAGGGGGGGGAGGGAGGGGAGGGGGAGGAAGTCGTTTGCCACCTGCGAATGAGGTTAGTGTATATAATGGCATGCGCCCTTCCCAGCGACAGCCTCGCGGGGGAGGGAGGGGAAGGGAGGCGAAGGGAGGGGGAGGAGGGGGGAGGGGAAGGGAGGAGGAGGGAGGGAGGGGGGCGGAGGGAAATCGGAAAATTCAAAAGCCGCGCCACGCGGTGACTCGCGGCTCGGCTGCGTCTGGCGCCCGGATGGCGCCAATTCCAAAAGTGGCCTCGCCGCGGAAATGCCGGATGAATTAAATTCTTGGCTTTTTAGCAGTGGGCACTCGCTATGGAAAGGAGGGGAGGGGGGCTGGGCCGGGCTGGGCCAATTGTTGCGGCCATGCTGGAAAACGCCTGCCAGCTGCAGCGTAGGCACTGCCACTGTGACATACGCGTTCTCGCAAATTCGGTGGGACCCGCGGCCCTGCGGTAAGCACGTTGTCAACATATATTGCATTGCGGAAGGTCTTAAAATGTCCCCGAGGCAGCCACGCAGTGGGCCAGAAGACCGGTGGAGGCGACCAAAACTCAAGACGCGTTTAGAGCTTCAGAGTCGCCGAACAGGACTCGATTCGAACGTGTGCCTCCGCCAATGGATTCCTCGTTTGGAGAGCAATCCATTGGTAGGGTCACACGTTCGGTTCGAGTCCCATTTAGTGACTCTGGAGCTCAAAACGCGTCTCGAGTTTTGACCGCCTCCACCGGTCTCCTAGCCCTCTGTGCGCGCGACCTCTCCGTTTTTCGTCCAGCCGTGTTCCCCTTCCACGCCACCTCCGGGCAAACTTTGCGGCAGGGGTCGGCGCGCTTGCAATGGGGCGGGGCGAGGCGGGGCGAGGCCGGGCGAGCAGCGAGTGTTTTAATTTTCAAGTTTCGGGAAAGCGGTCAAGGAAGTGGGGCTGAGTCAGGGCTGAGTAGCTTGCTGCCGCTGCTCTGTGCTTGATGCCGCATTTCGCGTGTGCCTCGGGCCGAGGAGGACCGATTAGAATGTGGCGGAGCCGGAGAGAAGGGGAGAGAGAGAGAGAGAGAGAGAGAGAGAGAGAGAGAGAGAGAGAGAGAGAGAGAGAGAGAGAGAAGGGGGGCGCCTTGACCGCTGGTGCACCCTCCAGGAAGGGAAGGGCTATGGAGTATGTCTCATCCTTTGGGAGGGCCAGATACGGGGTGGAGGGGGAAGGGGGGGGGATCGAGATTAGGGAATGGCAGCAGACCCAAGGCACATGCTGGCCGCCTCCAACCGCGTCTCCAGCCGCCCCCGCAGGCTCGGCTCCTCGCTCCGCTCGGCATTGGGACAGAAGGGGTCGCGGGGGTCATAACTCAAACCGGCATCTGGGAGGGGGTAGTCCGGGGGAACGGGGGGCCGAACGTACTCGCCAAAAGCTCAGCACAGGTTTAGGTTATGGCTGCTGGTGTACTGTACAGTCGGAGGCCGCACAGTGGGCCAGAAGACCGGTGGAGGCGGCCAAAACTCTAGACGCGTTTTAAGCTGCAGAGTCGCTAAATGCGACTCGAACCGAACGTGTGACCCCACCAATGGATTGCTCTCCGAACGAGGAATCCATTGGTGGGGTCACACGTTCGGTTCGAGTCCCATTTAGCGACTCTGGAGCTCAAAACGCGGTGTGGCGGTGGATTTGCGCGTGGTTTGGCGGGGCGGCCAGTGAATATGCATGCAGATGGCCAATGCATCCCGGATGCAGCGCCGCAGCGGTCTCGCTGTCATGTTATCTCTTCCACCAGCGAGGACCGCCATGGCCAGCCATGCCAACGGAACGAACAATAAAACAATGGCGGTGAAGCGGCGGCCAATCAGAGCGCTGTAGTACAAGCGTGACCACACCGAGGACCACACGCAGCGCGCGCAAGCGCGCAGCGAGGCGGCGACCGTGCGGGGCTCTGGGCAATTCTGTCGTCCCCACCGACCGGCGGCACGGTCCGGTCCGGCCGGCTGTCGAACGCCGAAAACTGGAATGATTTGTAATTGTTTTAGGGCGAGCGAGCGGAGCGGGGCAGTCGAACAGCACCAAACACGTCGTCATGTAATCAGTGTCCGTGCCGTCAAGCCACTACGGCGCACAGTGGGCCAGAGGACCGGTGGAGGCGGCCAAAATTCCAAACGGGTTTCGATCTCCAGGGTCGCTGAATGTGACTCGAACCGAACGTGTGACCCCACAAATAGATTCCCCGTTCGGAGAGCAATCCATTGATAGGGTCACATGTTCGGTTCGAGTCCCATTCAGCGACTGTGGAGCTCAGAAAGCGTCTACAATTATGGCCGCCTGCACCGGTCTTCTGGCCCACTGTGCTGTGCCGTCCGACAGTGCGTTCTGCAGACCACGCGAAGTGCTCCACGTTCACCAATGTAAGACGAAGACGCAACTGCCAGCCTGCCTCGGTGGTCCGCGCCGTCCGACCGGCAGAGCGATTCCGCTTCCGCCCTGTCGCTCTGTCCCCCTCACACGCCATGCGCACGCGGTGCCGAGAGGTGCCGACCACCGCGAGTGCGAGGGAGACAGAGCGAGGACGGCAATTGGAACAGCGGCGCATCATGAACGCGCCTCCAGGCTTTGGATGTGAAGCGCAGCTGCACTGTAGGCTGCTCTGCCTCAGCCGGCTAGCGCAACCGCCCTCGCTGAAGCCGTCGCCAAGGTCGTCACTGAGGCCTTTACTTAGGCCGTCGGCAAGGTCGTCTCCGAGGCCGTCGCTGAGGCCGTCGCTGAGGCCGTCGCCGAGGTCGTCGCCGAGGCCGTTACTGAGGCCGTCGCTGAGGCCGTCGCCAAGGTCGTCGCCGAGGCCGTCGCTGAAGCCGTCGCCGAGGCCGTCGCCGAGGCCGTCGCCGAGGCCGTCGCCGAGGCCGTAACCGAGGCCGTCACTGAGGCCGTCACTGAGGCCGTGGCGAAGGTCGTCACTAGGGGTCGAAGTTTCCCGGAAATCTTCAAAGTTCCCGGAAAATTTCCGGAAAAGTGGAAAATTTCCATTTTTTTGGGAAATTTTGGAAAATTTGGAAATATTGACTTTATTGCGTTAAAATGTGATAAAGGGAGGAAAAAAATTTTATTCGAAAAAACAAAAACGGAGAAACAGGTGAAAGGAACCAATTATTTATTTTCATGGTAACTAAGACCACTTCTAAATCGGTCAAAATAGTCACATTAGCGATTGGCATTTTCACTTTCTAGACCTAAGATTCCGCGTCGGCCTGGTGGGAGTTGGCTGATGGCCTACACTGCAAATGTCTTACTGTGAAAGGCTGCACCAACATATCATGGTGGAGATTTTTTCCATAATACCAATGAAATTTTTGTGAAAATATCTAATTCTCAATGGTATGTTATGAAGGCAGCTGCACCACCATAGTATGGAACATTTTCACCATAATATGGAGAATCTTCATGGTACAACATGTAGAGTGTACACCAGCCTTTACTTGAACTCTCGTTCCTGTGCCGGTTTCGCTGGTGCGATAACACAAGTACCAACCTGCCCTCGGCGCAGCGTTTGCCATTCCAACTCCTCCGATCGGAAGCGCGCATGAAGGCGTAAAATTCAAACTGGAAACTTTGATAGAAGTGTATTTTTGGGTAAATTAAACTGAAAAAGGTGACCCCGAGAGGGCTGAGGGTGAAATGGCGCTCGCACAATGTAAAATGTATCGTGCAATACACTAAGGAAAACGTAAAGACAGGTTTGTGTGCATTTATGAATCAAAAACTCAAAAACACCAAATTTTCCAATATTTCCTACTTTTTCAGGGGTCCGGAAATTTTCCGAAATTTTCCGAAAAATTTCCGGAAATTTTCCGGAAAGTTTCCGGCACTTTGATCCCTAGTCGTCACTGATGCCGTCGCTGAGGCCGTCACTGAGGCCGTGGCCAAGGTCGTCACTGATGCCGTCGCTGAGGCCGTCACTGAGGCCGTGGCCAAGGCCGTCGCTGAGGCCGTCGCCAAGGTCGTCTCCGAGGCCGTCGCTGAGGCCCTCACCGAGGCCGTCGCCGAGGCCATCGCCGAGGCCGTCGTTAAGGTCGTCGCCGAGGCCGTCACTGAGGACGTCGCTGAGGACGTCGCTGAGGACGTCGCTGAGGCCGTCGCCAAGGCCGTCACCGAGGTCGTCGCCGAAGCCGTCGCCGAGGCCACGTCACCGGAGACGGCCCCTCCCTCAAGATCCGCGTTTGAAAATGTGCACTGCGGTTCGCGCCTGAGGACTGGGCGTCCCCTCGCCCCTCCCCCTTCCGCGGCGGATGGCGGCCGCTGACGCGGGCAAGGCGCGGCACCGCGCGGCGCACTTGGCTGACGCGCCGCCGCCAAAGCCAAAGGAGCCGCGTCCGCGACACCGTCGCCATGCTCGCCGTGGTCGCCGCCGTGCTGCTGGCGGTGGCCGCGCCGCCTCGCGCCGTCGCCTTCAACGCGGACGCCAACCACGCCGTCGTCTTCGACGCCGCGTCCGAGGACTTGCTGTTCGGCTACAGCGTGGCCCTCGCCTCCGGCCAGTGAGTCGCCATCACAGTGGGCCAGAAGACCGGTGGAGGCGGCCAAAACTGTGGACGCGGTTTGAGCTCCAGAGTCGCTAAATGGGACTCGAACCGAACGTGTGACCCCACCAACGGATTGCTCTCCGAACGAGGAATCCATTGGTGGGGTCACACGCTCGGTTCGAGTCCTGTTTAGCGACTCTGGAGCTCAAAACGCGTCTTGAGGTTCAGCCGCCTCTGCTGTGCTAAGTTCTACCCAGTTTAAGCCAGAGCCTTGAACCTTGTTCTTTCCGGTTCGCAGGCTGCTCGTCGGCGAGCCGAAGGGGTCCTGGCTGACCAGGGCTGACCTGCACCAGCCTGGGGCGCTGCACCGCTGCGCGCCCTCCCTGGGGCCCTCCCTGGGGCCCTCCCCGGGGCCGGGGGGCAACGCATGGGGGGCGCCAGGGGCCTCGCCCAGGTGCACCCCCGCAGTGCTCGAAGGTGAAGTGTATCAGGCCGCCCTCATGGATTAACCGGACCACGATTTATACCTAGAGATTGCCTTCAGGAGTCGTGTTGTTTTCGTTGTTATTCATTTTGTTATTGGTTCGGATCGGACGGGGAATACTATAAAAAATATAAATCTTCTAAATTTCAGAAAAAATTGAAAAAAGGTGGTGTGAAGTATCAAGAAAGACGAGGCGTTCCTTTGGATTCCAAGGCGGCGGCTTTTTTGCCGTGAGACTTTGGATCTAAATCGGAACATCCGTCAAGTGGCAATCTCCTCTTTATCAAAGTCCGCCTTCCTGCCAGGCCCACTGCCAGCCCCCGGCGGCATGCCAGAGCCACGGCAGGCCCACCGTTCCCGCGGAAACCGAAAGTGACGACTGTCTGTCTGTTCCAGGTAAAGAGGACGCGTACATCGGCGGCCAGCGCGTGCAGCACCTCAAGAACGACTCCATGTTTGCCTCCGCCGTCGTCACCACTTCCGCCGGGATGACGCTGGTAGGCCGGTACAGTGGGCCAGAAGACCGGCGGAGGCGGCCAGAACTCGAGACGCGTTTTGAGCTCCAGAGTCGCTAAACGGGACTCGAAGCGAACGTGTGACCCCACCAATGGGTTGCTCTCCGAACGAGGAATCCATTGGTGGGGTCACACGTTCGGTTCGAGTCCCATTTAGCGACTTACAGTGAGTGAAGAGAGATTTGCCAGTGTAGGCGTGGAGTGGTCGGGGCGTTGGCGTCTTCGCTGCTTCGCTTATCTTATTGCACGACGATTACGCTCCTCGTTCCGCCCATTCAAGTGTTTCCTGGTTCCCCAAAACAATGCCAGAAAATGCGTCCGGACCCCAGGTCTGGACCACTGTGAAAAGAAGTATCGGAGATTTTCAAAGCCACCTCTGGAAAAGGCAGTTTTTCTTGTTCTTAGTATGAAATTTACGAAGAATTTGCAAAGTCTCCGTAGGTTCCCCATAAATTTACGAAGGTGGCTTCGTAAATTTTCCAATTTCACGAACATTCATCGTAAATTTCCCGTAAATTTATGAAGATGCCTTCGTAAACGACCAATTTATTTGACAGAGTTGACAGAGTTGCACCTTGATGTCGCCAGGTGTGTGGACCGGGCTGGAAGAACCAGATGTACAAGAACAAGCACTACCTCATGAACGGGCTGTGCTACGCGCTGACCGAGAACCTGAGCAGGCCGTACGCCCCACTGGCCGACAGTTACGGTGAGCGAAAAAAAAACACTTTGACAGTTGGAACGAGGGCCGTCACGCAGCGGTGCCCCGGAGTAACTTCAACTCTTATTAAAAATGAAATGTCTCGCCTGGCGATCCAAAGAGAACCCGCACAGTGGGCCAGAAGACCGGTGGAGGCGGCCAAAACTGTAGACACGTTTTGAGCTCAAGAGTAGCTCAATGGGACTCGAACCGGACGTGTGACCCCACCAATGGATTGCTCTCCGAGCGAGGAATCCATTGGTGGGGTCACACGTTCGGTTCGAGTCCCATTTAGCGACTCTGGAGCTCAAAACACGTTCAGAGTTTTGGCCGCCTCCACCGGTCTTCTGGCCCACTGTGACCCGCTTTCCTCTCAGCCAAGCAGGGGGCCGCGGTGCCCGACCCTTCGCAAGGCCCCGGCGCCACCAAGAACGTCTTCAACTACGCCTTCGGCGAGGCGGGCTTCTCGGCACACATCAGTCAGGTGAGCAAGGGCACAGTGGGCCAGAAGACCGGCGCCGGCGGCCAAAATCCCGGACGGATTTTGAGCTCCAGAGTCACTAACTGGGACTCGAACCGGACGTGCGACCCCACCAATGGATTGCTCTCCGAACGAGGAATCCATTGGTGGGGTCACACGTTCGATCTGAGTCCTGTTAAGCGACTCTGGAGCTCAAAACGCGTCTCGAGTTTTAGCCGCCTGCGCCGGTCTTCTGGCCCACTGTGAGGAGGAGGGGGAGGGGAATTCCCTCGCCTTCTTTCGGGCGGAGCCGCAGTAAGACAAGTGTATGGTGCAGACGAGCACAAGTGCAAACACACTCACCCACACAAACACGCATCCGCCCACGCGCACACACACACACAAACACTTACTCGCGAAGCCTTGTGCCCGTGGCCTTTCCGCACACACACTCACACATTCACACCTACCCACACACACGCACTCGCGCGCTCACACTCACACACACTTACCCGTGAACAAACATTGCAGATGGTGCTTGAACGAGTTTCGTCGCTCCGTCTAGGTCAGACTAGGCTACGCGGCTGTGCCTCCGGATTTGACCAAGGGCCGTTGTTTGTCCTCCGCCCTCCATTAGACGGGGTCCGTTCAAAACAAAAGAAGAAAAAGAACAAAAAATTGCTGTTTTTTGCCGCTGCACTGTCGATAACGGCGCGGAGTCTGCGAACGGTCTCGCGAGACGGAAATCAAGAGCATTGCACCCGTTGTCGCGTCCACGGGCAGCTGCAGCCGCAATGGCAAGGCAGTGTTGATTGCCAAACACGTTGTTTGCTTCCAGGGGAAATCACTGTGAATTTAATTCAGAGTACACATTCAATGAATCTCAGTCAAATTTCGATGAATTTAGGAAAAATTTTAATCTGCTGAATTTAGAGAAGAATTTTGATGAATTTCAGTGAATTTTGGTAAACTTTACATGCTTGATGATTTTTAGTGTACAAATTTCACTGGAGTCATTTCCCCTCGGTTTGATTCCAGGACGAAACTGAGGTCCTTCTCGGTGCGCCCGGAGTGCTGCAGTGGAGAGGTATCGTTTCACCCAAGATGCAATTGGTACACTCCAAAAAACGACTGGAGTTTTTAAAAAAAAAAACTTTCTTTGGTTTTTTTTTGAAACGTTTTCTTGATCCAACTTTCTTTTCTTCAACAAAGATGTCAAGATTACAAGATAAGTTTTCTTGAAAATTAAAAACAAGGAAATGCGCAATCAAGAAACCATTTTTCTGGCTTCTCTGGGATTATAAATCAATCCCCAATCATAATTTATTTTTTAATAGAATTTTTTTTTATTGTTTTTTTTTTTGTAGGCTCGGTGATCCGCTACCGCATTAGCCCCGTCGGCCAGCTCATCGAGAAGGTGGTCACCAGCACGGAAACGCTCCAAGACTGCAGTTACTTTGGTTGGTGCCACGATGCGTCGCGGTAGAAAGACGTTCCTGGAGTCACACAGTGGGCCAGAAGACCGGTAGAGGTGGCCAAAACTCTAGACGTGTTTTGAGCTCCAGCGTCGCTAAATGGGACTCGAATCGAGCGTGTGACCCCACCAATGGATTGCTCTCCGAACGAGGAATCCATAAGTGGGGGCACACGCTCGCTTCGAGTCCTGTTTAGCGACCTTGGAGCTTAAAACACGTCTAGAGTTTTGGCCGCCTCCACCGGTCTTCTGGCCCACTGCGCCCTGACACAGAGCTGATCTGTCCTCCAGGTTACTCGGTGACGGCCGGCAGGTTCCGCGTTGGAGCGCCCAGGGATCAGTACGCGGCGGGGGCGCCGCGGGCCGCGCTCACCGGCAAGGTGAGGTCCCACAGTGGACCGGCCAAAACCTCGGACGCGTTTTGAGCTCCAGAGTCGCTTAGCAGGACTCGAACCGAACGTGTGACCCCACCAATGGATTCCTCGTCCGGAGAGCAATCCATTGGTGGGGTCACACGTTCGGTTCGAGTCCTATTCAGCGACTCTGGAGCTCAAAACGCGTCCCGGGATTTCGACCGCCTTCCGGTCTTCCGGCCCACTGTGCAGCAGAAGTCTCTAGCCCTAGCCAGCCATATGGGAGCCTATCAACGAGCCCTAGAAGGCGACCAGCCGTAGGAACCTCACCCCAGCCAGCCAGGCGCAGCCAGGCCTCTGGAAGGACGCCAGCGGTTATGACTTGGCTCTGAGTACTCCATCGGTGGCGCTGTGCGGAGCTGCGCGGTGCTGCGGTGTCACCGCCAGGTAGGGGCGGGGCGAGGCACAGTGGGCTAGAAGACCGGTGGAGGCGGCCAAAACTCTAGACGTGTTTTTAGCTCCAGAGTCGCTAAATGGGACTCGAACCGAACGTGGGACCCCACCAATGGATTGCTCTCCGAACGAGGAATCCATTGGTGGGGTCACACGTTCGGTTCGAGGCCTGTTTAGCGACTCTGGAGCTCAAAACGCGTCTAGAGTTTTGGCCGCCTCCACCGGTCTTCTGGCCCACTGTGCGGGGCGGGGAGACGAGGCCGACTTGCCGACCTGGCGCGGCGCCAAAGCCAAAGATAAGGGCTGGCCGATTGACAGTGGGGCGGCCCTGCAGGGCAAGGAGAGGCGTCAAGCGCCACTTCGCCTCTTTCCTTCCACCCCACGTGGCTAAGGCCGCGGGGGGCGGATCCGGCGGCGGGTTCGGGGGATGTCGCCGAAGTTGCCCCTTACAGAGGCAAGGTGCGACTTTTCCCCTCCTTTCCGGCGGCTCACAGTGGGCTAGAAGACCGGTGGAGGCGGCCAAAACTCTAGACGCGTTTTGAGCTGCAGAGTCACTAAACAGGACTCGAACCGAGCGTGTGACCCTACCAATGGATTCCTCGTTCGGGGAGCAATCCATTTGTGGGGTCACACGCTCGGTTCGAGTCCCATTTAGCGACTCTGGAGCTCAAAACGCGTCCGGGATTTTGACCGCCTCCACCGGTCTTCTGGGCCACTGTGCTGGATCAGGCCAGGTACACTGCCCTCGTTCCAGGTGCTGCTGTTCGAGCTGGCGGACGACGCGGCGGGCGACGCGGCCGAGATGACGCCCCTCCAGGAGGTGCTGGGCGAGCAGCTCGGCGAGTACTTCGGCGCGGCCGTGCTGGCCGTGGACGTGACCGGCGACGGCCTCGCCGACCTCCTCGTCGGTGCCCCGCTGCACACGCGGCCGGAGCGCGGCGACGAGGGTCGCGTGTACGTCTACGTCAACGACGGCGAGGTGCGCTGCACAGTGGGCCAGAAGACCGGTGGAGGCGGCCAAAACTCTAGACGCGTTTTGAGCTCCAGAGTCGCTAAATGGGACTCGAACCGAACGTGTGACCCCACCAATGGATCGCTCTCCGAACGAGGAATCCATTATTGGTAGGGTCACATGTTCGGTTCGAGTCCCATTTAGCGACTCTGGAGCTCAGACTGCGTGTAGAGTTTTGGCCGCCTCCACCGGTCTTCTGGCCACTGTGTGGTGGTGAACCATGTTGAACGCGGCGAGCATGGTGATGGCGGTGAACTCACCTCTGTGGTCGATCCGGCAGGGCCGTCTACGGCGCACGGAGGCCCCGCTGACCCCGACCCGCGACGTCCCCGCGCACCACCGCCACCACGGCGAACACGGTGACCACGGTCCGAGGTTCGGCTCCGCCATCGCGGCGGCCGGCGACGTCAACCGAGACGGCTTCAACGGTGAGGTGCAACAACGTGCAAAGCAAGGGGAGAGGCCGCTGCACAGTGGGTCAGAAGACCGGTGGAGGCAATCGAAACCCCGGACGCGTTTTGAACTCCAGAGTCATTCAATGGGACTCGAACCGAACGTATGACCCCGTCAATGGATTGCTCTCCAAACAAGGAATCATTGGTGGGGCCTGTTCAGTGACTCTGGAGCTCCAAACGCGTCTAGAGTTTTGGCCGCCCTCACCGGTCGTCTGGCCCACTGCGCTTCGACGGCGTGGTGAACCAGTGCATCTTCCAGACGTGTGGGTCGGCGCGCCGTTCGAGGACGGCGGCCGCGGCGCCGTGTACTTGTTCCTGGGCTCCTCGACGGGGCTGAGGATCGCCGCCGCGCAGCGCGTCGCCGCAAGGGACGTCCACCGCGGCCTGCGCGCCTTCGGCTTCAGCATGGCGGCCGGCGAGGACCTGGACGGCAACGGGTACGCGGGTACGTCGCACAGTGGGGCAGAAGACCGGTGGAGGCGGCCAAAACTCTAGACGCGTTTTGAGCCCCAAAGTCGCCTAATGGGACTGAACCGAACGTGTGACCCCACCAATGGATTGCTCTCCGAACGGGGAATCCATTGGTGGGGTCACACGTTCGATTGGAGTCCTGTTTAGCGACTCTGGAGCTCAAAACTCGCCTCGTGCCCAGGATGACGCCGCCCTCTGGCCCACTGTCAATGCGTTTGCAGACCTCGCCGTGGGCGCGCCACTGTCGGGCTACGCCGCGGTGCTGCTGTCGCGGCCCGCCGCCCGCCTCGTGCCCAGGATGACGCCGTCCTCCAGCGAGCTGCCCCTCTCGGCCACGTCGTTCGTCCTGACGGCGTGCCTCGAGTACACCGGGCCGCGCGCCGAGCCGCAAGCAGGTGGGTGCACGCCAGATTAGGAGCACGTCTCCGGGCCAAGAGCATTCCACAGTGGACCAGAAGACCAGTGGAGGCGGCCAAAACTCCACACGCGTTTTGAGCTCCAGAGTCGCTAAGCAGGACTCGAACCGAGCGTGTGACCCCACCAATGGATTCCTCGTTCGGAGAGCAATCCATTGGTGGGGTCACACGTTCGGTTCGAGTCCTATTTAGCGACTCTGGAGCTCAAAACGCGTCTGGAGTTTTGGCCGCCTCCACCGGTGTTCTAGCCTACTGTGCATTCCTCCTGCTGCAGCCGCGTCCGTGTCGCTGTGGCTGGACGGCCCGTCGGGGCAGATGGACCGCGCGGCGCTGCAGCTGGCGGGGCGGCAGCTCTCGCGGCAGGTGCACTACGTGCAGAGCCTCGCCCTGGACAGGCGCAGCTGCACCAACGTCACGGTGGTCATCCGGCCCGACATCGACGACTTCACCATCCCCATCGACGTCACCATGAGGTTCAACCTGACCGACGAGGCGTCCCGCAGGGGTAAGCAATCGTCGCACAGTGGGCCAGAAGACCGGCGCCGGCGGCCAAAATCCCGGACGCGTTTTGAGGTCAAGAGTCGCTGAATGGGACTCGAAAGGAACGTGTGACTCCACCAATGGATTGCTCTCCGAACGAGGAATCCAATGGTGGGGTCACACGTTTGGTTCGAGTCCAATTCGGCGGCTCGTGAGCTCAAAACGCGTCTAGAATTTTGGCCGGTCTTCTGGCTCACTGTGTGTCGATGCAATGTCGGATGGAAATATTTTAGCGTGCCGGTGTTTGAACCCTCGACCGCTGCCACAGATCGGCCCTTCTGCAAGGCTTGCCCGGTGCTGGACCCCGCCGCGCCGACCACCGCGTCCCTCAAGGTCCCCTTCGCCACGGGCTGCGCAAACGACGCCATCTGCCGGCCGAACCTCAGCGTCGCGGTCGAGTGGCGCGGCGCGTCGTGAGTCAAGCCGATGTTCGTGGGTTCGAATACCGGTGACGGCGATTTTCAGTTTTTCCGTTTTGTTTGCTTTCAGACTGCCGCTGGTGCTGGGTAGCTCCCGACAGGTGACTCTCCGGGTCCTGATCAGCAACGCCGGTGAGCCTGCCTTCCTGGCCAAGCTCGCCGTGACGCTGCCCGCGCCCCTCGGCGTGGCCAGGATGCCGGCGGCGTGCCACGCGCCGCGCACCGAGGCCTCCGCGACGACGCTGCTCCTGTGCGACGTGGCCAACCCTCTGGGCCGCCACGCGCAGGTAACAGACCAGTTTATGTTCATTATTATGTTCATGTTTTTGTTCATGTTTATGTCCATGATTATGTTCATGTTTGTGTTCAAGTTTATGTTCATGTTTATGTTCATGTTTATGTCCATGTCTATGCTCATGTTTATGTCCTTGTTTATGTCCTATGTCCATGTTTATGTCCATGTTTATGCCTGTTTATGTCCATGTTTATGTCCATGTTTATGTCCATGTTTATGTCCATGTTTATGTCCATGTTTATGTCCATGTTTATGTCCATGTTTATGTCCATGTTTATGTCCATGTTTATGTCCATGTTTATGTCCATGTTTATGTCCATGTTTATGTCCATGTTTATGTCCATGTTTATGTCCATGTTTATGTCCATGTTTATGTCCATGTTTTTGTCCATGTTTGTTTTATGTTTATGGTTTCCATGTTTATGTCCATGTTTATGTCCATGTTTATGTCCATGTTTATGTTCTCGTTTATGTCCATGTTTATGTTTTTTGCGGCAACCCCTGCAGGCGACGCTGGACGTGCCCCTGGACGTGTCCGCCGTGTCCCTGTCGCCGGACGGCTCCGCGGCGCCCGTCCTGGGCGTGCTCCTCAACGCCACCAGCGCGGCCAACAGCCTGGACACGCGGCCCGAGGACAACGTCCTGGCCGCCACGCTGCCGATGGCCGCCGTCGTGGACCTGGACCTGGTGGGCAGGGCGTCGCCTGAGCTGGGCCTGCTGCCGCAGCAGTCCGGCGCCAAGCCCGTGCGCTTCACGCACACCTACGAGGTGGGCACCGAGTGGAGGTTCACATTCTTGTTTCGTCGGTCAGAAGATCGGTGGAGGCGGCCAAAACTCCAGACGCGTTTTGAGCTCCAGAGTCGCTAAACAGGACTCGAACCGAGCACGTGTGACCCCACCAATGGATTCCTCGTTCGGAGAGCAATCCATTGGTGGGGTCACACGTTCGGTTCGAGTCCCATTTAGCGACTCTGGAGCTCAAAACGCGTCTTGAGTTTTGGCCGCCTCCACCGGTCTTCTGGCCCACTGTGCGGGTAGTTGAACTCTCCCTGTCGGCAGGTGCACACCGCGGGCCCCACGGCCGTGCAGGCGGTGTCGCTGCGCATGCTGCTGCCGGCGAAGGCCAGGCTGGGCGGCAGCCGCGGCCGCCTGGTCACGCTGCTGCAGATGCAGGTGCTGGTGGACGGCGTGCGCGCGGCGTGCGCCGCGAGCGAGGCCACCAAGGCCGAGCAGGACGACAGGCTGGCTCCGGCGCGGCCCGCCGCCGTGGACTCGGAGGACGTCCAGGACGCCGAGGACGTCCAGGACGTTGACGGCGGCCTGCGCTGCGGCGCGGAGGCCGTGGTATGCGTGCAGCTGGAGTGCCAGCTGTCGCTGCAGAGGGGCTCCTCCACGCGAGTGGACCTGCAGCTCCGGCTGCTCACCGAGGCCCTGCTCCAGGTCGTCGGACCGTCCGCGCGCGCCGTGGCCGTGCACACCAAGGGCGTGGTGGTGCCGCCCAGGGTGGCCAGGCTGCCCGCCGGGACCAAGGTCACCATGTAAGGCCCCAGTGCTCGCCCAAGCCGCTAGTGTCGGAAGGTGCCAACCTCAGGCAGCTTGTCGAGCGGTTGTCACTCGTTTCGACACTGGAGCGTCCTGGGAAGTTCTGTCTACACTTAGAGACTACGCCTGAAGTTTCTTGAAGGAAAGGAAACTGGCAGTGTGACGTGTTTCCAGCGCGCGGCCAGTGCAGCTGTCCACGCTGTTCATGCGGCCGTCCGAGTCGGCGCCCGTGCAGCCCTGGGTCGTGGGGCTGTCCGTGGCCGCGGGGCTGCTGCTGCTGATGCTGCTCACCCTCGCCCTGGCCAAGGTGCGTCATTGTCTCACGTTGTGGACACTTCATGCAACCACCCCCAGTGTCCCTGGAGGCACTTCCGGTGTTTCTGGAGGCACTTCCGGTGTCCCTGGAAGCACTTCCGGTGTTCCTGGAAGCACTTCCGGTGTCCCTGGAAGCACTTCCGGTGTCCCTGGAGTCACTTCCGGTGTCCCTGGAAGCACTTCCGGTGTCCTTGGAAGCACTTCCGGTGTCCCTGGAAGCACTTCCGGTGTCCCTGGAAGCACTTCCGGTGTCCCTGAAAGCACTTCCGGTGTCCCTGGAAGCACTTCCGGTGTCCCTGAAAGCACTTCCGGTGTCCCTGGAAGCACTCCCACTTTTCCTGGAAGCACTTCCAGTGTTTCTGGTAGCACTTCCGGCATTCTAACCCGTGGCCTCGTCGCCAGGCCGGGTTCTTCGGCCGAAAGAAGGTGCCTCTGGTGGGCGAGGTGCCGCCCGAGCGGACCGCGGTCGGCGCGGAGAAGGCCCCCGGGCCCGGCCCCGCGGACGACGACACGCTGCTCGCCACCAAGGACGCCGTCAAGGACTTGGAGGACGCCGAAGTCCCGGACAACGGCAGCGACAGCGGCATGTCGTCCACCGTGGACGCGGCCCACGCCAACCGGAAGTAAGCCGGAAGTTGGCCGGCCGAAACCGGAAACAGCAACGAATAAGACTGAAGCCGACACGCGAGTCGAGCATAAAGCCAAAGAAAGAAGTAGAGTAGGCAAGTCGTGTTTTGTAAAGCTTGTATTTCGAATACAATGATCGAATTCACCGTCCATGAAACACGAAGCCAGCATGAAAAAACAATAAATATTGATTGCCCGAGGACCCCTCGTGTCTAAAAATACTTGATTAAAAATACTGCTCTTGGAACCCCCAATCAATACACCACAGTACCCCAAGAGCTCGCGGCCCCACCGCGCCGGAGCGACGTCACACAGTGGGCCAGAACACCGGCGCAGGTGGCCAGAATTCCGGATGCGCTTTGAGCTTCAGAGTCGCTGAATGGGACTCGAACCGAACGTGTATGACCCCACCAATGGATTGCTCTCCGAACGAGGAATCCATTGGTGGGGTCACACGTTCGGTTCGAGTCATGGTTAGCGACTCTGGAGCTCAAAACGCGTCCGGGATTTTGGCCGCCTCCGCCGGTCTTCCGGCCCACTGTGCGGCCCACTGTGCCGCGCCGGGGCGACGTCAGAGCGTTCGGCGGCGTGCTCAGAGCCGCTGCAGGCTGGCCATGCACTTCTTCATGTAGGCGTGCAGGTGCGAGTAGTCGACGAGCGTGTCGCGCACCAGCTCCTGCAGCACGCTGGGCCACTCGGACTCGAGCTGGCGCAGCTTGGCCACGGCGGACACGGCCATGTCGAGGAGCGCGCCGAGCTGCACGCGTCCCTTGTGGCGCCACAGCAGGTCGTCCTGGGACGGAACGTCGCGGCGTCAAGCCACGTCAAGCAAGCATCATCACCATCTTTTTCAACGAGAGATTACTCGAAATTCATCAAACTTGAAAAATTCACTGAAATTTGTCAAAATTTATCGAAATTGCATAGAAATTCATCGAAATTTGACTGAAATTCGTCAAATTGCGACTGAAATTCATCGAAATTCGACTCAAATTCTTGAAAATTCGACAGAAATTTCTCGAAATTTGACTGAAATTTGTCGAAATTTGACTGAAATTTATCGGAATTTGACTGAATCTCATTGGATTTGTACACTGAAATTCACAGTGATTACCCCCTAGTCTTTTTTCTTCTTTTTCTTTCATTAAAATTATAAAATGTTTTTTTTTTTACCTGCGTGAGGCTGGTGCGCCGCCACTGCAGGGCCTCCTTGCCCACCACGGTGCGCAGCGCGGGGTCCGCGGTCCACAGCCACTGGCGCGCGCTGAGGTGGTGGTGGTGCGGGGCGGGCAGGGCGGCGCCGTGGCCGCGCGACCCGTCCAAGCGCAGCCGCGACAGCAGGGGCTGCAGCAGGGTGTCCGGCAGCGACCACAGCACCAGGTCGCTGAGGCCGCGGAACTCGGCGGCCGCGGCCGACACCATCTCCTCCGTCACCTGCGGCAGAGGGGGCACTTGGAGTGGGCCGGAAGGCCGGCGGAGGCGGCTAAAACCCCGGACGCGTTTTGAGCTCCAGAGTCGCTGAATGGGACTCGAACCGAGCGTGTGACCCCACCAATGGATTGCTCTCCGAACGAGGAATCCATTGGTGGGGTCACACGTTCTGTTCGAGTCCTGTTTAGCGACTCTGGAGCTCAAAAACGTCTAGAGTTTTGGCCGCCTCCACCGGTCTTCTAGCACACTGTGAGTCGCCAGTTCCCGTCCAAGTTCGTTCAACTTTCATGTCCTCGTGGAAGGGAGCCAGCAATCAGACAGTGACACGCTGCCGGGCGATTCAGAAGAGTCGTTTCGTCGCTCTGTCTCTGTCGCACTCAAAGGCTTCTCCATAAGGGCGTGAAAGAGACAGAAACTCTTCTGAACCACTCGCGCCTGGGGGCTGTCTGTGCACAGTGGGGAAGAAGACCGGTAGAGGCGGCCAGAACTCAAGAAGCGTTTTGAGCTCCAGAGTCACTTAGTGGGACTCGAACCGAACCTATGACCCCACCAATGGATTGCTCACCGAACGAGCAATCCATTGGTGGGGTCACACGTTCGGTTCGAGCCCTGATTAGCGACTGAGCTCAAAACGCGCCTAGAATTTTGGCCGCCTCCACCGGTTTTCTGGCCCACTGTGCTGTGGTCTCCACCCACCTCCACGTCGTTGATGGTGCGCAGCCCCCAGTGTGCCAGGCGGTAGATGGCGTAGCTCTGCCACTGCTTGGCCACGATGGGGTTGCCCTCCTCCTCGACGCACAGCGAGGTGAGGCCCTGGATGTCGGCGAGCGCGTTGAGCTGGCCCAGACACGCCAGGTTGTTCTCGCGGAAGATGAAGTGCTCGGCGTTGGGGAAGCGCTGCTTGAGGCGGCCCAGCACCGCCGTCAGCCCGTTGAAGTTGATGTAGTTGAAGCGGACGATGGTGACGTCGGCGGCCTTGGCCGCGTTCCACGGTCTGTCGATGAACCGCAGCGCGCCCTGGCCGTACACGTTGAGGTAGCGGCCGCTGATCTCCACGAGGTAGTCGCCGCCTGGGGGCAGCGCCGGGCAGCGCGACGCAAAGCGTGAAGAGGCGGACAAAACTCTAGACGCGTTTAGAGCTCCAGAGTCGCTAAATGAGACTCGAACCGAGCGTGTGACCCCACCAATGGATTCCTCCTTCGGAGAGCAATCCATTGGTGGGGTCACACGTTCGGTTCGAGTCCGCCTCCACGGCAAATCCACTGTGAAGCGGGACGTGCTTGGCGTGTGCATCCACACTGCGCGGGACGCGGCGGGACGCCAGCAGCGAGCACCCAAGTTTGCGACTATCGCAGTCACTATCTCACCTTGCTCGCGTGTCTTGCCCTGCGCGTTGCCCGCACTGCTGGGGGCGGCGGGGGCGGGGCAGAGGGGGGCGGCGGGTGGAGGCGGCGGGGCGCTGGCCGCGGCTGGGGGGCCGGTGGAGGCGGCGCCGCCCCCGCCGCTGCTCACGCCGCGCGCCGACATGGCCGCGCTGGCCTGCGGCTTGGGGCGTGCCGTGGACGCCCTCGGGGGCGGCGGCTTGTACATCGGGGGCGGCCGGCGGTGCGGCGTGGCGCTCTTGGTGCGCTGCACCTCCACGGGGGCGGCGGCGGGGGCGGCGGCGGGGGCGGCCGGCAGCTCCCCGCTGGACTCGTCGTCGTCCTCCTCGCCGCCGCTGCTGCCGCTCAGCGAGCTCAGCGACGAGTCCACGTTGGGCTCCACGCTGGACAGGCTGTCGCAGCGGCGGGGGCGGCGCGCGGGGGGCGGCCCGGGGGCGGCAGGGCCGGTGGCGGAGGCGCCGGGCTGCTCGGCGACCTCCCCGTTCACCTGCTTCTCCTCCGGGAAGCCCAGCAGCGGAGCGAGGATCGGCGGAAGCCGGAAGAACTCAACACTGCAAAATCAACTTGGTTTATTTTTTCGCGTTTCAATCCAAGAGACCGCGCCGCAGTGGGCCAGGAGACTGGCGGAGGCGGTCAAAACTCTAGACGCGTTTTGAGCTCCAGAGTCGCTAAATGCAGGACTCGAACCGAACGTGTGACCCCACCAATGGATTGCTTTCCGAACGAGGAATCCATAGGTGGGGTCACACGTTCGGTTCGAGTCCCATTTAGCGACTCTGGAGCCCAAAACGCGTCTAGAGTTTTGGCCGCCTCCACCGGTCTTCTAGCCCACTGTGCGCGCACCTGTTGGACGTGTTGGTGGAGGACGTGTCCGTGTCCTGCGACGCCGTCCGCCGCACCAGCCCCCTCTGCGCGCGCCTGCTGTCGCCGCGGTCCATCATGCTCACCACCCTGGCGGACGGCCCCACGCCCGCCACGCCGGTGGAGGCCGTGGCCGAGGCCGCGGACCCGTTCTGCTTGGCCGAGGCCGCGCCGCCCGCCTTGCCGCGCGCGAGACTGCACCGTCGGCTTGTCCTCGCCGTCGAGGCCGTGCTGGTGGTCGGCGTCGAGACTGGGGGCGGCCGTGGCCGTGCCCGAGGCCGTGCCTGGCCTCTGCCCCGACGCGTGGCCGGGGCCGTGTCCGGGCCGGGGGCTGTTGGCGCAGCAGGACTGCGAGCGCAGCAGCTCCCAGTTGGTGCGCGCGTTGAAGATGACCTCCTCCCGCTTGACGCCGTCCGGCTCCCCGACGCCCAACTGCACGAACAGGCTGCTGGCGGCCTCCTTGTTGGAGCGCCACGACATGGCGGCCTTGCGCACGGGGTCGGTGATCTGGAAGCGGAGTGGCATGTCACGACAACTTGACCGCCGCACATAGTGGGTTTGCCGGAAGACTGGTGAGGCGGCCAAAACTCAACACGCGTTTCGAGCTCCAGAGTCGCTGAATGGGACTCGAACCGAACGTGTGACCCCGCCAATGGATTGCTCTCCGAACGTGCGCCCACCTGCAGGTTACTCAGCATGTTGAGGTTCGGTAAGTACGACACGAGGAAGGACACGCAGTCGCCGCCCTGCGCCACCGGGTTGCCGTCGATGGTCACCTCGCGCAAGTGGCTGGCCTTCGCGACACTGTACATGTCCTCGACGCTGCAACAGGAGAGCCAGATTACATCACTGTTACAAAAACGTATTGTAATTTAACAGTGGGCCATTCGGCAATTGACTGTGGTGTTTTATCTCCCCGCGGACCAGAAGGCCCGTGCCACTGTGCCCGGCACCTGCTGAGCTCGTTGTTGCTGAGGAACAGCTTGACGAGGTGGGGCGTGTCCCCGAAGCCCAGCAGCTTCCTCAGTCGGTTCCGCCGCAAGTTCAGTTCCTGCAGGTTGCGCAGGCCCTGCAGGTCGGACGCGCCCACCGAACGGATCTGGTTGCCGGCGAGGTTCAGCACCTGCGAGCAACCACCTCCCTCTCTTACCCGCGAGCGTAGGGGCCGCCCGTGACACTGTACTGTGGGCCAGAGGACAGGCGCCGGCGGATAAAACTCTAGACGCGTTTTGAGCTCCAGAGTCGCTGAACAGGACTCGAACCGAGCGTGTGACCCTACCAATGGATTGCTCTCCGAACGAGGAATCCATTGGTGGGGTCACACGTTCAGTTCGAGTCCCATTTAGCGACTCTGGAGCTCAAAACGCGTCTAGAGTTTTGGCTGCCAGCGCCGGTCTTCTAGCCCACTGTGCTTGAGTGCGACGGAGGTGCCCACCCACCTTGAGCTCGCACAGGAAGGACAGCCCGCCGACGGACGTGATCTGGTTGCCGTGCAGGTCCAGCACCTCGAGGCGCGTCTGCCGGCGCAGGCCCTCGATCTTCTTGATGCGGTTCTTGCCCATGAGCAGCACGCGCAGGTTGTCCAGGCAGTCGAGGCCCGACACGCGGTCCACCTGGTTGTCGTACATGTCGAGGAACACGAGGCGGCTCAGCGTGAGCCCCGCCGCCGACAGCGAGTCCATGCGCGTGATGAGGTTGTGCTGCAGCGAGAGCAGGCGCACGCGCGACTCGCCGGGCATCAGCGGCACGGCCGTCAGCCCCCGCCTGTCGAAGAGGAAAGCGCTTTCTCTCTCACACTCACACCGACTCACACACCGAAAGGACGAACGACGCACAGTGGGCCAGAAGACCGGAGGTGGCCAAACTCCCAGACGCGTTTTGAGCTCCAGAGTCGCTAAATGGGACTCGAACCGGACGTGTGACCCCACCAATGGATTCCTCGTTCGGAGAGCAATCCATTGGTGGGGTCACACGTCCGGTTCGGGTCCCATTCAGCGACTCTGGAGCTCAAAACGCGTCTAGAGTTTCGGCCGCCACTGTGAAGCGCACCTGTCCAGGCTGATCCTGTCGGGGTTCTTCTCCTTCTCCCGGATGGTCCTCGCCACCTGAAGGCGGCCGTCGTGCATGGCCTGCAGGTCGCCGTCGTCCGGCCGGTCGGCGGCCACAGGGGTGCCGCCCCCGCCGCCCCCGGCCGCCGCCACCGGCGACCCCGACGCGCCCACCGAGCTGTGGGAGCGCTTGGCCAGCCGGGGGTGGCGGGGGCCGGCGGGGGCGGCGGGCGCCCCCTGGAGCACGGGCAGGGCCGGGGCGACGGCGAGGTAGGACCGCGTCGCCTCGCCATTGGCTACTGTCTTCCCCTGGATGCTGAAGGCGCGCTTCTTGTCCTGCGGGGCACAGGAGTTCCGTATCGTTTGTCTCACTCGCACCCTACGGGCCCTGCGGGCTGGGCCATGAGTGTGAGAAGGACAGAGCGACAGCAGTGCCGCGCGCCGCGCAGTGGACCAGAAGCCGGTGGAGGCGGACAAAAATCTAGACGCGTTTTGAGCTCCAGAGTCGCTAACTGGGACTCGAACCGAACGTGTGACCCCCACCAACGGATTGCTCTCCGAACGAGGAATACTTTGGTGGGGCACACGTTCGGTTCGAGGGCTGTATAGTGACTTTGGAGCTCAAAACGCGTCTAGAGTTTTGTCCGCCTCCACCGGTCTTCTGGCCCACTGTGCGCCGCGCACAGCAGGTGTCGGGCGGAGGGAACTGCACGCGCGGTGTCAGCGGGAATCATTTTCACTCGAAATCGGAATCTGGCATCGACGGGGGTGGAAACACGATCGCAGCCAAACGCGCGAGAACCAATCGAACCAATCGGAGTGGAAGTGGGTGAAATGGCCACTTCCGGGAAGGGCGCTCGCACCACACCCGAGTGCCACCGGTCTTCCGGCCCACTGTGCGTTGCACTTGCACTGTGCGATCCGCTCCCTGATAAACCACGAGGACGTTTACCTGTGTTCCTCCATTCGACTTTACAGATGGCATTTGCCGCGCTTTGTCTTCTGAAGGAACCCGGTCCGTTCAGTCGCCCGCAGAGACCATGTTCACGCCACTGGCGCGCCACTTCGGTCACCGCGCGGCCCGATTCCTGATCGGGGAGGGAATTTGAGCCATTTGTTTTGATTGGGCATCGATGTAGCAGACGACGGGGGGGTGCACTTCGCAGCCAACCTCCCCGCTAGAGAGTCATCGATGTTACGACGATTCTGACCGGTGAGTACGCATGACTAGCACATTTTAAACTTTGCCTCTCTAGCGTAAGCTAACAAAACTAGCGGAAAATTTGAAAAACAAATTGGAGGAGTAAATAACTTGAGCATGAAATAAATTTGAGTTGGTACAGTTGTAGCTGAGTTTTTCATCTTTGTTGTCATGGATACAGCAGCCGATGAGAAATTTACTGATCACAATTGATCGTAAAAAATCTGTCTGCTGCTTGAGCTGGGTGCATGTTCGGTGTCCTGCAGACTTGTACTTGTTTATGATTTAACCATGAATGTCTCTAGTCTCTTTTCGACATTCAGAAATAATTGTCTCTACACTTCTTTTGTCCGGCATGCTGTGAAAAATGCCAACCCCGGTAGGTCTTATTCGGTTTCGCTTCTGTGTTTGTTTAGGTTATGGTTCTCTCTTTGGATGTTGTATGATTCTTGGTATGTTTTTCTCTCTTACTTCGCATATCATCATAAAATTACTGTCGTAACACTCTTATCGTATAGTATTTATATTCTCTGTAGCTACTTATCAACTTTGTATTAGTCGTCGGTCATTGATTTATAATTTTTGTTTACAGCTATTGCTGGGCTTGGTGCAAAGAAGAGTAAAGGTAAACAAGAATCTACGAAAATTACCATCTCAGTTGAGACTGACACACATAAACTAGTAAGCCATGTGTGTGGCTCCAACCTTATGCAGACTGGTGAAGATATCCAATTAAGACCAGATAGCGAGTACCCAGATTGGTTGTGGAGTATAAACACGGGTACGTAAACTTTAGTTGGTTCTAGAGGTATTGATGTTTTATGTTTTGGTGTTGATCAAAATGATTTTAAATTATGACTGTGTTTCCAGGACCTGTCAAAAAATTGGAAGATCTAGAACCTGGCAGCAAAGAATACTTAGAAAAGTTAAAAAGAATTAATATTAAGAAAGCAATGATGATTAAATCGCTGAGCAAAATCAAGCAGCAGTGATTGTATCTATCCTTTCATACTCATGTGTTACATTTGTTATAGTGTACTGCATCAATTAATTATGTTCTAAAAATACATAGGCTCGAGGTCTTGATTGGAAGGTGTTATTTGTTTGCAGTTTAATTTTTCAGCTCAAAATAAAAAAAAATATCAAATCTGGTTTGCCAACTTTTTTACCCTTCCTGTCAATCAGAGTCTCTATCACTGGATCTTCTCTTTTTTGACTTCTTGGTCTTCTTACTTTTCTTACTTTTTTTGTGTTTCTTTAAGTCTCTATTTTGCTCCAAATCATTACTATCTTCTGAGTCACTGTTATGCTTCTTCTTTTTATGTTTACTTTTCTTCGGTTTCTTTTTTGATGAAGAAATTTGAGAGTCTGATGAGCCAGATGAACTGCGGCTTCTCTTTGAATTTGATCCATATTTTTCTAATCTATTTACAGCATCATAGTCCACAGATGCCTCAGGCTCAGACTGGTTGGCATCCCAGCTTAAACTGTCATGGTAGTTCCTGTCACTTGATCTTTCTTCATTGCGTCGTTTGTCAAGCTTCTTGACACCTTTTGTTTCTGAGTGGTAGCTTGAACTGCTGTAGTCTCTTTTTGAACGATTTCTTGTTTCTTCATAATCTTCCCTTCTCTCTTTCTCTTGTCTCTTTCTATCATATCTATCACTAAAAGAATAAGAATCTTTACCATATCTCTTTTCTCCCACATATTTGTCATGCCTGTATTTCTTACTACTTCCTGCAGAGTACCCTTGCTCTGAGTACTGTTCCTCATAATGACGTTGATATTTTTCTCTGCCTTCTTCATGGTAAGACCAGTCAGTATAGTTGTCATCAGGAGGATATCTTCTAGATTTTCTATTGTTTTCACCATAATAAGATTGATCTTCGAACTTTTCTTCCTTATACCTGTGATAATCTCTTCTGTCCTCTTCATAGTAACTCTGCTCTTCTGTTCTTGACTTGTACCGGCCCCTATCTCCATTATATGAATGGTGCGCAAATTTATTATCTCTGCCCCTTCCATATTTCATTTCATCTTCTCTGTTAAATTGACCGTATTTATTAGGCCATTCATCTCTACTTGAATTGAATTTTGTTGATCTCCCAGTCTCTTCTCTACCACTCTGATCATTTTGGAGTCTTTTAGTAGGCTTGAATGAAGAAGCGTTATCATCTTCAAAGGCCTGTGATTCCTCCTGTTGCTCTGGAGGTAAGAGGTAAGGTCTCTTGAATGGTCGGTCTCGTCCACCAAACCTCAATTGTCCAGATTCTTTCTTCCCACCAAGCCCACCTCCTGAAAAAGGCAAATATATCAAGCGGGATTGATTTGAAAAGTACATTTGATACTGATAAGTGCAAAATAACAAACCTAAACGCCGAGGAATCCAGCCAGGCAAAGTCCTTGCAAATTCCCACTCAACTAAAATTTGCCTTTCTTGGAAAACTGTTGCATGAGCCAGCCTCCATGCATTTTGAGCATCTGCCTGCCTTTTGAACTCGACGAATCCATAACCACGTGATATTCCTGTGACTATGTCTCGAACCACCCGACAACTTTTCACATGACCATACTTGGAAAATTCCTGAGGAACAAGATTAAAAGATGTAGCTGCGTTACTTTGAATTATGTATTTTAAATATTGAGGCTAAGTCTTACTCACCTCCGTAAGCTGTCTTTCACTGGTTCTAAAATTAAGACGGCCCACAAAAAGAGTCAGTGAAGGGTCAGAGGTGACAGTTCGTTCATCTGGCGGTTTGTATTTTGCAGACATGGCACGAACAACAGCATGATCATGAGGATCCAAATCAGTCCCGTCTATACTCCCAGCTTTCAGGGGATCATAGACCTTCACGTAGGGACTCCACCCCGACAGACTGGCTTTGGAACTCATCGTGGATAGCATCTTAAGGGAAACTGTCAAAAGAAAACATAACCCTCACGATCCTCCAGTGAAGATTAAGCATTCATGCCTAGAAAGCTTTTCCTAGCAAATGAATGATAAAAACAGAAGAGACTGTTTATGACGTGAGTCCAAACAGGGTTCCATTGGCGTGACAAGAAATCAAAAGTGTTGTAATGCAACAAATGTAAACATTAACATAACAGGGCCTCGTTTTGATCAACAAATTTCTCATAGCAGGGCGGCACTGGCGTTAAAAAGGAAAGTGCGTTTGTTGTGTTGCAGGAAGGCTGTGCAATGTTTATGATGAACTTTTGTGAAACGGACAAACAACACTTGGTTCCTTTTCGTGAATTTTAACTTGATTTAGAAATCCCTCTAAGTCTCATGGGTGAGTTGTGTCACTTTCCCCGTATTCTTTTGTGGGCAGCAGTTCAAGGGCCTAAGTGACATGATCAAACACGTCCCTTCTTGGGCTTCACAGCTGACTAGGGCTCGGTGTTGTGATTCGGGCAAGCCCCTTGTCTTGCCTGCTGCCTAGCGTTTCATTTTCAAGGGAGCCTGTTTCTCTTTGAGCCTGTCTCTCCGGTTTCCGATTGCTGTTGGACCTTTAGAGCGCAGCTGGCTGCCCTAGTCTGACGAACCCGTCTCTCCCTTTATTCTCTGTTGTGTGCACTGCTCTTGTTTATCTTCTTTCATTCCCCATGACATTTTCCTCTTTGTCTCTTCAATCAATTTTGCAGTTCCTTGTGTTCCAACTGTCTTTAGTGCGGAATCTGACGCCTTGTTGTAGTTTTATTAATTTTACCACATAAATGTGTTCTGGACTTTTTTTGGTGTGCTTGTTGGGGGAAAATGAAATTGTTTACACTGGAACGAAAGCTGTTCAACCCAAAATGTATTTTACTTAATGCTATCATTCATGCAGCAAACTAATATGAAACCACTCATTTCAGAATGAGCTGTGTGATGTGACGAAAGTTTGTGGAAGGACATAGTGGATAACGAAATGTCAGCAGCCAGTAGCAAAAGTGAAATATGTGCCCCAGTTTCGGAGTCCCTCCGAAAAACAGCGGGCACATCAAATGGAACAAGCCACCAGCCAGCAACTCTTCTATCCACTCTCTGCAGTGTCCTGTGCCTTATTAGTGCGGTTCTCACCGCTTTTGCCGCTTTCCGCAACACACTAACATGGTAAGAGGTTTATAGACAAAGCGTTCAAAGACCGTTTGCTTTGTAGGACTTTAGAACAAGGTTTTGGTAGTGTATGTGCTGTACCATCTCCCTCAAGTAATTTGCAAAGAACACTCTTATTTTCCGCCTCGAGTACTAGCCTCAGAAGTTCTAGGTTTTAGAGACTCGTAGTATATCCCAATCAAAACAAGTGTCACCCTAAGAGTGCAGTGGTTGTCCTCCCCGCTGTCCTCCCGCTGCTTGCTTGTGAGGTATGCGCGCTGAAAGCTTGGTTCTTTTGAAGCGCTTTTCACAGTGGTGGAGCCTGGAGCGCCTGCGGAAGTCAGGGCGGGCCAGCCCGCCGAACTTGCGTGTTGCGCGTGGCTGCCTACCCTCGACTTCGCAGGCGCTAGCGCTTGGAGGCGGTCAAAATCCCGTACGCGTTTTGAGCTCCAGAGTCGCTAAATGGGACTCGAATGGAGCGTGTGACCCCACCAATGGATTCCTCGTTCGGAGAGCAATCCATTGGTGGGGTCACACGTTCGGTTCGAGTCCCATTCAGCGACTCTGAAGCTCAAAACGCGTCTCGAGTTCTGGCCGCCTCCACCAGTCTTCTGGCCCACTGTGCCCTGGTGGCGTGGATTTCCCGCCGTGCGACCGATGACTCGTCGATCGCTGACGATAAAAAGAAATTGAAAAGAAAGAAATGGAAAGTGGGAGGGAGTGTGTTTGCGCCATAGCCCTAGCTCCGATAAGACAGTAGCGGCGTGGTTTCAGTAGCGCCCTGTCCTCCGCCGCTTGCATGTGAGTGCTACTCAGTGGCGCAGCAGACTGATTCCGAGAGTCGTTGTCGTCGCTCTGTCCCCCTCGCACCAGTACGGGACGCCCCGTGAGTGCGAGAGAGACAGCGACGGCACACAGTGGGCCAGAGGGACGGGTGGAGGTGGCCAAAACTCTAGATGCGTTTTGAGCTCGAGAGTCGCTAAATCGGACTCGAACCGAACGTGTGACCCCACCAACGGATTGCTCTCCGAACGAGGAATCCATTGGTGGGGTCACACGTTCGGTTCGAGTCCCATTTAGCGACTCTGGAGCTCAAAACGCGTCTAGAGTTTTGGCCGCCTCCACCGGTCTTCTGGCCCACTGTGCGGCCCACTCGGCATGCGTCTGCTGCGGCTCAATTAGCGTGGCTGCGCGCTGCGCGCTGCTGCGCGAACCTCTCGCCGTCTCTCTCGCTCTCGCTGTCCTGGCGGGCCAGGCCAAGGGCCACAGGCGCTTCCAGTGGGCCGGGCATGAACCACTCAACACTCTCTTGTTTTTCAAGCCGCTACATGCGATCATTTGTGTCGTGGGGTCCGCACAGTGGGCCAGGAGACCGGTGGAAGCGGTCACAACCCCGGACGCGTTTTGAGTTCCAGAGTCGCTAAATGGGACTCGATCCAATCGTGTGACCCCACCAATGGATTGCTCTCCGAATGAGGAGCCCATTGGTGGGGTCATAGCTCGGGTCGAGTCCTGTTTAGCGACTCTGAAGCTCAAAACGCGTCTAGAATTTTGGCCGCCTCCACCGGTCTTCTGGACCACTGAAGCGCGGTGCCCCTGTGGGTCATGTGGGCATGCCGGTAGGGGTATTGGAACGCTGCCCCCCTTCGACCCCGTTTTGGTTCTAGAGTGGCGTTGCCCTCGTTTGAGCACTGCTTAGCACCTCCATGCGGCATGCAACAAGCCGGCAGGCCGGCGCGGCGCCGTACGTCGTTTTTTTCCGGTCGCCGCTCGGGTCATTCCCCCTGAGGGACCGTCCTTAAGCCGAGCTTCCTGTCGTGGGCTCCTCGACCCCCACCCCGTCCAGATTTGACCACCACAGTGGGCCAGAAGACCGGTGGAGGCGGCCAAAACTCTATGCGCGTTTTGAGCTCCAGAGTCGCTAAACAGGACTCGAACCGAACGTGTGACCCCACCGATGGATTCCTCGTTCGGAGAGCAATCCATTGGTGGGGTCACTCGTTCGCTTCGAGTCCCATTTAGCGACTCTGGAGCTCAAAACGCGTCTAGAATTTTTTCCGCCTCCACCGGTGCTCTTGCAAATCCACTGTGCGAGGGAGCCTGGCTGGAACCCCTGGCCGCGTGACGCATCTGCGAAGCCTGTGTTCTGGATTAAACAAACGAGTCAGAGGGCACGCCAGCATGGCCAGCATCAGCTGGCATTAGCCTAGCCCCCTTCTCCCCTCCCCGTCCCAGTCCCTATGCAGCTGCAGCGCTGGCCTGCCGAGCGATTCTACAGTGTGTCGTCGCGATGTCTCTCTCGCACCCACGGGGCGTGTCATAGGGGAAGAGAGAGACGGAACGATGTTCGGAATCAGTCTGCTGTGACGTTCATCCAGCGGGACGAGCAAGCCCTGCCCCGCCCTGCCCGCCGCGAGTCCAGTCCGCCTCGCCTCAAATCCCTACAGTGCACATCCGTCGCGGAGGTTCGGAACAGGTTGGAGGGAATTCCCCGCAATCCTTGCACAGTGGGCCAGAAGACTGGTGGAGACGGCCAAATTTCAAGACGCTAAACAGGACACGAAATGAACGTGTGACCCCACCAATGGATTGCTCTCCGAACGAGGAATCCATTGGTGGGGTCACACGTTCGGTTCGAGTCCCATTCGGCGACTCTGGAGCTCAAAACGCGCCTAGAGTTTTGGCCGCCTTCACCGGTCTTCTGGCCCACTATGCCTTGTCGAGGAAGTGTTTGTTCGCGTTCCAAAACTGGATTTCAATTTTGCCGACCGTCTTAAGTCCACGGGCGGTTCCGAAAATGACGCCTCTCGATTGCCCGTTTATGAGTGGGACTCTAAAAGCCCGGACAGGACTGGGCAGGGGCTGGGTCGTTGGGTAATACGGCAGTGTGAGCAGCGGACTGATTCCGAGAGTCCTTGTCGTCGCTCCGTCTCTCTCGCATCCATTCGGAGCGCCCCACGAGTGCGAGAGAGACACAGGCGGAATGAGTCTGCGGGACAGGGGCGACTAGACAGAGACAGACTCGCTCCTAGTCCAGGACGACGTCCAGGAGGACACGCGCACCGGTTTGGCGGTCATGGGCACGATGACGATGAGGGGGAAGGGGGCCTGTGATGCCATGATGCCTCCACGCGCCAGGAGGCGGCTAGTGGGCCCGGCCAGGCCCTCGGCCAGCCGCACAGTGGGCCAGAAGACCGGTGGAGGCGGCCAGAAATCGAGACGCGTTTTGAGCTCCAGAGTCGCTCAATGGGACTCGAACCGAACGTGTGACCCCACCAATGGATTGCTCTCCGAACGAGGAATCCATTGGTGGGGTCACACGTTCGGTTCGAGTCCCATTTAGCGACTCTGGAGCTCAAAACACGTTCAGAGTTTTGGCCGCCTCCACCGGTCTTCTGGCCCACTGTGAGCCGCCAGGCCGCCAGGCAGTCCGACTAGACCGAGCCGTCCCGTCCATCCCATCCCATCCGCAGTAGTACACGAACGCACGAACCGTCTGGAGCTGGAGCGGCGCGCACGGTCCGCCAGCCCCGCCAGCCCCGCCAGTCCCGCCAGTCCCGCCAGGGCCATCGTGATCCCGGGCACTATTAGCGCCCGGTAACAACCCGGTAATTGTAATTGGGATGTTCGGTCTCTGTCCAACTCTTGGGCACCTCAAAGATCACACCCTGCGTCGGTCTTTGTTTTTACTCCATTTTTTATTAAAATTCTTTCGGTGTATTTTACATTTTTAAGAGTGCTTGTGATTCTGTTTCCGGCCTGGCGTAGAAGGGGTAGAATTTAGCAAAGCAAATTGTTGTGTGGTTTGGTCTCTTCGTTTCCTGCTTAATTTTGCTTTGTTTTGTAGTGTTGCTGTATCCTCTTTCCTTTATCTATTTATTTTTTTTAAGTGTGTTTTTATTTTTGGTTTGTAGATCTGCCACCCCCTTACAATTAGATTTTCCGCTTTGGCTCTTTGAGATTTAATTTTGCACGATGGAGTCTGATGCACCCCAGCTTGATCCGTACACTTTCCCATCAGATTTTCAAGTAATTCTGTGAGTATGTCTCTTCTATTTCGGGCCTGTTGCTTGCTCCTGCTGATCATTCTGGAATTTAAATGAGTCTAATGGTTATAATCCTTGTCAGGCATCTACAAAGATTTTGGGGTGCTTCTGGAGACTTTTGGCAGGCTATTTGGGACCTATTACTGGATTCCATTGGTGAAGATCCAGTAACACTTTGGGTGATTGGTAAGATGGATCATAACTTTAACACTTACAGTACTTCCTCCCTGACAAAAAAGTTTGTTTCTTTTTAATTTTGTTTCATTATTAATTTTTCATTATTTTTTTTCTCTAGCTAGCAATGTTGTTACATTGACAGTCTATTGGCTCTTCGGGGCTGTGTACACAATATTGGACTTCACAAATAAGCCAGCAGCTCTTCGTCGATACAAAATTCAACCAGGAACAAATGAACCAGTTGACAAACAACGCCTCCTTAAGGTATGAGATATACTATATTTCTACTCAACATTTTCTACTAACTCGTTGATCTCCCATGATTTTTGTTTAATGTGCAGGTCATAGGATGTGTTCTATTCAACCAAACTGTCGTGGCTCTGCCTGTGAGCTACGTGTGCTTCAAGTTGATGGAGTACAGAGGCTATCCCCCGCTGAGAGAGTTGCCCACTTTCCATTGGGTGTTGGCAGAAATGGCCGTTCACATTTTGCTAGAGGAAGTAGGCTTCTACTATTCTCATCGGTAAGATTTGCTGGAGGTGGTCACAGTCTTACTTTCATCAATTATCATTATCAATGCTTGTCTGTATTTGATTTTTTGTCTACAGACTTCTGCACAGTCGTTATTTGTACAAACATATCCACAAACGTCACCATGAGTGGACAGCTCCAGTCGCTGTAACTGCCATTTACTGTCATCCGTTAGAACACATATTTAGCAACTTACTTCCGCCAATGCTGGGGGTGCTCTTAATGGGCTCTCATGTTGCCACGGCCTGGTTGTGGTTTTCCATGGCAATTCTCTCTACCTTGAATGCTCACTCCGGCTACCATCTGCCTTTCTTCCCCTCTCCAGAAGCTCATGACTTCCATCATTTGAAGTAAGTTTACCAATCCATTTTCATAAAACTAATGTGTTTATTTGACCATCCTTTTATTTTTCATAAGAGGAATGTGCTACCCTGCTGCATTCTGGTAAAATGTTCTGTATATTTCAGGTTTAACCAATGTTTTGGAGTTTTGGGCGTGCTTGATCGGTTCCATGGAACAGATTCACTGTTTCGTAATTCAAGGTGTTATAATCGTCATATCATGATGTTGAGTCTTACACCTGCCAGAGAAATGTTCCCTGATGAAAGCAAGGGGAAGGCAAAGTAACGTGCCATTTATTTTTCATTATTATCATTACCTCTATTATTGTATTGTCAATATTTTTATTTTGGGGGAAGGGGCACTGAGTTATGGCAAAGATTAAACTGTGACAGGCATTTTGCTACATGTGATGCAAAGAGACTAACCAATGATGACAATGTGTGCTAGAGAGAGAATGTATGTTTTTACAGAACTATTTTAGATTTAGTTAGCTTACATTTGATACTTGCTCTGAGTATGCTCCTTAATGTCTATTTTACTTATGATGAACTTTCTGCTTTTAATCTTCATAAATTCAGTGCACTGTACTACTGCACTTTTGTTACAATCAAATATTATATTTCAAGAAAACATTAGTGGTTAAGTTGCCGCATGTGGTTTGGGGACAGTTTGGCAGCCTTACATCTGTGATAGGTCTATGACATTAATATGATAGCGACATTTGTGTGGTGTATTGTCATGACAAGTTTAGAGATAGTATATTGCATTAACTCATTTGCTGCAGTGGGTTTGTGGGTCCTGTAATATAACATTTGGCTCTGACCTGCTCTGACCACACTTGGTCCATGGAGTCACAGATCTGTGACTCCGTGCATGGTCACACTACTGCAGCAACTGTGTCAAAGAATATGCACTATTTTATTTAGTTATCATACTATTCAGTGAAAGAACATTGCTTGCTTTACTTAATTTTTTCCTAAAGAGAATTTACTTGTAAGTATTCGTTCTCATGACATATCTGACGAACAGAGACTAAGACAGCCATGTCCCCTAATGAAAGTTCATGGGATTGTGATAAAAAATGATGACACACCAAATAGAGTAATGGGGTTTGATGCTTCTTATTGGCCCTCCTTGTTCAGTGCTTCTCTCATGGCTAAAATTTTCCAAAGGTCACAACTTTTTGGTGCATTTCTACTTTGACTGCGCACCAATAATTTTTGTCTCCTCCTTTTCTCGTATTTTACTAATAATTCTTCTCCCTGTAAAGATGATTATTTTTTTAAATCCAACTGCATTCCCAAATGTTTGAATGCATGCAAAAGATTTTAAGTACTGTCAACTTTTCATGCCGCCTCCACTATACTATGTGATACCTTACAAGTTCGATTGTGTAGAAGTTTACAAGCGGCCTATCAATCCGATGGTCACCTCAAGTTCTGATTTATGTTTCAATCGCTCTGTTACACATTTAAATTACTTGACTATGTGATGCTTCACTCAATGCTCTCAACATTAATTCCATAATAATATGCTCCAGGTCATATGTATTTTCATAATTTATTTAGTATTAGAGGCAAAGTGAAGAGAGCATTTAGATGCTCATAGAACTGTAGAAAATTTATTGTCAGATACAGAGTATTACTTTCACACACTGCAAGAGTCCCGCTAAGGGTCAAATTCCTTCTGACTTGCATAGGTGCCTTGATTTTAGACAAAGTATGACTAACTTTTGATTCTTTTCGATACAAGCAAAGAATTTTTTCTTGCTAGGTGGTAATGTAGTTTAGAGAGATTTGCTACAAGAGTATCATATATATTGGAACAGCCAATAATATGCAATTAGTCTAAAAATATTAATGGAATATTCAACAGATTTACAGTGACTGTAGATTGGTAACATTCTTTGTCACTTGTTGTATTTAATAGTAGTCACTTCTAGTTTGCTACCAGTAGGTGCCCTATAAATCCGGATTCAGTGACAGAGGAAATGAGGAATTGTTACTCATTAATTAATTATCTGCTGCAAAGTGTTTGTTTCGGGAAGGGAGGAAGAATTGACTGCAGAGCTGCTTTTCAAACTTACTTCAGTGAGTCCTTCACAGACACAAATGTCTCTTCTCTTATTAACCAAATTGTGATTCTCAAGTCTGTGATTTATTGATGGCACGTTTTAACCACCATGCTTCAGTTGAATGTGAATATATATTTAAATATAAGTACGTACTTTAAATTATTGAAGATTTTTATTTTAGTGGCAGTGGCTTCTGCAAACGCTAATTGTTGTTTTCATTGCGGTATTTATATGCATCCTATTCATTTGTAAATACTGAAATGAATGCTTAGTTGTTTAATTGTTTTTCTTCACAATTTTTTAGGGTGCATTTGTAGTGACCTGCAGGAATCATGATCCTGACACGTATCACCATGTTCTATTCTTGGATTGCCGGCTGTAATTAATGCATGAACGAAGCTCTTGCTTCGTTCTCATTAATATTGTACTGACCAGAAGTTAAAACTGCCGAGGCTTATGGCCATTGCTTTGTGATTGTGTAGTACTGGTATAGAACGGGTTAAGAAAGCTCCACAAATTTTATGTCGGTTGGAATACAATTATTTATTTATGTTACAAATATACACTAATGTAGCAATCTTTTCTTCTTTTAAAAGAAAAAGCAAAGTCAGATGTTTAAAATCATTATGCAAACTTAATGCAATTGAAATGATTTTTTAACATACTGCCTCAAAATAGCAGAACAAGGCAGAATCGGGGACCTGTTTTTCCTAGATGATAATTGTAAAACAGCACACTTTTTGTTCTGTGGATGATTCTGTCAAGTGCAAATCACACTAACATGTACAAATAAATAATTACAAAATATAACTTAACTTTTTTCTTTTGAAGTATCACAATTAGAAAATTCTTTTGGAATCTGACCAAGCCAGAAACTGTATCACAAAATAATTACGCATCTCTATCTTCCACCATAGCATTTGATAGAAAGAGAAAAGAAATTACATTCTGTAGGTTTAGTTAAAGACAGACAGGGAAGTAGGTAGATTAGAATTAATCACAGACATAAGTTAAAATGATACCTCTCAAAACTACAGATACAAATTGTTCGCTATGCTCTCTATCCAATTTATTCTACTATGGATCAAAACAGAACTGACAATGTCTTTCTTCCCACCGAACAGGTATCCAGGGCAATTATTTGAGTGCTGGGTCAGTTCTTTTTTTTTTTTTTTTTCAATTGATCCATGAAGTAGTACAAATAAGCAGCTTACTGAAGCTGTATAATTTGTTTCTTATCAGTCTGGCAAGGAATATGATGTAGAAAACAACAGCTAGTTGTAAACTCATTGACAAGGGAATGAAATTATAGAAGTTTTTAGTAAGATTCAGACAAAAGAAGCACACTTAGTAACAACTCACAGAACAGCACTTAGAATTCAGAATGTGACCAATAAAAATAGAGTACTAGTATCATACGTTTTTTGGAACTGTCAATCAATTTTTTAAAAAAAGTCAATTTTGTTTAAAAGCAGTACCCGTCAAGCATGAAAGGGAATTAAATTTTATCACAGCAAAATCAGTCATTATACATTCCATCAATGAGGAAATCCATCCTCCGATAATGACGTCTGTCCCAGAAATCGCGACTTTTCTTGTAGGCATATGCCCCAAGTACAGCAATGAATGGAACTGCTAGCAGCGCAATGACAATGGGTACAACAAAATCAAAAGACGGACCAGCACCAACAAGGCTTTGGTCAGACACAATAACATTTCCATTTTCATCCCTGGGTAAATCATCAATATCAAATGTGATGGCAGGTTTACTCTTTTTCGGAGTTGTTGAGTTCATTGCACTATCAACAGGTTTACTTGGAGTCGTACCAGCTCTGGTTGTGTTTGATGCCAAAGTGTGGGCAGGAGATTCACTCGTAGAGAGGCTATCATTGTGACTAACAGTTGGTGTCCGTAGGGCATATGCTGTGGGAAAGTGAAAAAAAAAAGAAATAGAACAGACTTACAACATCGATGCCAGATCAAAAAGAAACAATGAGTACGATGTAGGCCATATACTTACGAGAAGCAGCTTCACTGGAGTTGTGTTGAGCTATTTTGGCTTGATGAAGTTCAGCTAGCTGAATGTCTTTAGGCCTTACTACTTCTTGGGTTGCATTTCCTAACGAAGAAGTAGACTCAAGAGCTTCCTTTCTCGCAGTAATGTTATGCGTGAAGACTGAGCTCAAATTTGATGACAGGCTTCCAAGTTCAGATAAGTGGGAATCATTCAAATCGTGAAGAGATTCTCCATTTGCAGCAAGGGCAGTGAGAAGCCCTAATAAAAGTGCTATCCATGGGCCTCGTCCTGCTGGACCTGTCGCCGTGGTAAGCTGGCTGAGCTCCATATTGTCTCGTGTGCTGTCTCTCTGACACTGAAGACTGCAGCAGGAACCATCAAATTGGCGGTCAGAACACCGACGACGTTGCACGTTCTAGTGACCTAACAGCACACAGTTGAATGGATCTTGCAGCAGGTCGTAGTCGTCCTAGTCTGCTCGCCGTCTGCTGCTGTGTTTATTTACATGATAGACGGACATAACCTCACACCTAGAAGCAGAAGAAGAAGAGAAGGAGAAACAAAGCCTTGCCAACCTTTTATGCATTTGTCACAGACAACTTTGCATTTGCGTTTGTGTGACAACTTGACGCCATTTCATAGTTTCACTTGATGATATCTGGCTTTTGTCGACTTTTCATGCTTTTCATCCGAGAATCCTATGTTTCTATGGTTCTCCTCGTCGTCATTCAAGATTGTTTTGGTAACACTGCTCATTCAACCTTTTGGCAGTAAGACGGGTTGCCTATCCACCGGCATTCATTCATTCATTCATTCATTCATTCATTCATTCATTCATTCATTCATTCATTCATTCATTCATTCATTCATTCATTCATTCATTCATTCATTCATTCATTCATATTCATTCATTCATTTTCATTCTCATTCATTCATTCATTCATTCATTCATTCATTCATTCATTCATTCATTCATTCATTCATTCATTCATTCATTCATTCATTCGTCCTAACCAGGCGAGTAGATAAATCTTCAATGAAAGCAGCTCGTCAGCCTGGCCGTGACTCTAGTAGAGGCCCCTGGGGACGACGGGGTCCTTCCTGACGAGGTACAGCTGCAGGTCCGCCTCCTTGCCGCGCTGCCCCCAGGACTCGCAGCACGTGGGTTCGACGGGCAGGTCGGGGTCGCGGGGGGCGGCCGCCCCGAGCGGCAGGCCGGGCCGACTGGCCAGGCAGCGGAAGGAGCCCCGGCAGCCCCAGCGCGGGCACCACACCTGGACAGGACAATGAGGTAAGGCACTGTGCACAGTGGGCCAGAAGACCGGTGGTGGTGGCCAAAGTTCTAGACGCGTTTTGAGCCCCAGATTCGCTAATCGGGACTCCACTAATGAATTCCTCGTTCGGAGAGCAATCCATTGGTGGGGTCACACGTTCGGTTCGAGTCCCATTTAGCGACTCTGGAGCTCACAACGCGTCTGGAGTTTTGGCCGCCTCTACCGGTCGTCTGGCTGGCCCACTGTGCCCACTGTGGCCCACTACGCCATGCTCAAAGGGCGGCTGGTCGCGTCTCGCGAGGGCGGCAGACTGATTCAGAGAGTTGTTTCCGGCGCTCGGTCTCTCTCGCACTCATGGGGCGTCCCGAGGGTGCGAGAGAGACAGGACTCCAACCTGCATGCCGTTCCTCTTCATGCACAGGCAGCTGGTGTAGTGGTTGCCGCCGCGCAGCTCGGGCAGCTTCCAGCGCAGGAAGGGCGTCAGCGACACGCGCGCCTGCAACGTGCAGGGTGCAGCTGTAGGACAAAACTCTAGACGCGTTTTGAGCTCCAGAGTCGCTAAATGGGACTCGAACCGAACGTGTGACCCCACCAATGGATTGCTCTCCGAACGAGGAATCCATTGGTGGGGTCACACGTTCGGTTCGAGTCCTGTTTAGCGACGAAAGCCCCGCTGGTGGCAGTTGGGTTGCCTACCCGGCAGGGACACTCACGTCGGTGCAGGCGCGCGGCAGGAACGAGTTTGGCGTTTCGCCGTGCCGCAGGTGGCGGTTGAGCTGGCAGGAGTTGAAGTTGAGGTGGCTGGGCTCGGCGGGGAAGTCCCTGCAGGCATGTAAATCCTACAACAGACTGCACAGTGGGCCAGAAGACCGGTGGAGGCGGCCAAAACTCTAGATGCGTTTTGAGCTCCCACTGTGTGACTGATTCCGAGCACGGCTCTCGTCGGTCTATCTCTCTCGCATCCTTACGGGACGCCCCACGAGTGCGAGAGAGACAGAGCCACTGTATCTTTTCTCTTACTGGACGTCGCGGGCCAGACGCGAGAGGTTGCCCTGCAGGCACTGGCGGTACTTGTCGGCCACCGGGTACCGCAGTCGCCGCACCGAGCCGTCCTCGTTCACGATCTCCGCGAACTGGAATTTAAGCATGGCCGTGTCCTTAATTTTTCTATTTTTTTAATATTTTTTTTTTAATTTTTGTGGTGGGTGAGGGCTGTGGTTGGATTGTTGTGATTTGGCGGCTGCTTCCATAACAACCCAGACCAGAGTTCAAAATTCGCAGTTCTTGCCGTGCACATTGCACCGCGCGGTGGTGCTGCGGAGGTGATACTGCTGGCTCTCCCTCACACACACACTCACACACTCTCACACACACACACACACACACACACACACACCACACACACACACACACACACACACACACTAGATGGGTTCTACGCGGTGCAAGATTAGACGACATTGTGAGGCCTCCTGAACCGCGACGGTGCGGGAGGCGACGAGCTAGACCCGTCTTGTAGTCATATCGTGTGACACCGTGGCGCGGCGTGGCGTGGCGCGGCTGGCATTGCGGTTTTCACGCAGCGGTAAAGACAGTCCCGGCCGTTTTCAGCGAAACGGCCTCCTCGGGCACCTTGGGCACCGTGGGCACCTTGGGCGGAGCCCAGGCGAAGCCGACCGCCACGTCCAGGAGTGCCAGTCGAGCAGGGCGGGAAAACGGACGGGAAATGACAACGGCAACGCACGGTGGGCCGGAAGACCGGTGGAGGCGGCCGAAATTCTTGACGCGTTTTGAGCTCCAGAGTCGCTGAACGAGACTCGAACCGAATATGACCCCCCACCAATGGATTGCTCTCCGAACGAGGAATCCATCGGTGGGGTCACACGTTCGGTTCGAGTCCCATTTAGCGACTCTGGAGCTCAAAACGCGTCTAGAGATTTGGCCGCCTTCACCGGTCTTCCGGCCCACGGTGCAACGGCGGTTAGTCCCAGCTGCTTTTGGCTCCGATTCCCCACGCACTGCACCACACTGCACCACACTGCGCGGCACTGCGACCACCAAGTGGCGAGGCAACGCGCGCGGGGACGACAGGACAGCCCTCAGGCCGCGCAGCCGCACAGCCGCGCCACTGTGGAAACCTGGCGGCATCCATGTATGGGAAATGCCCTACAGGGCCTGCAGGCCTGCCGCACATGTGCTAGCAGTGTGGTAGCGCCGCTTGCGCCGCTAGCAGGCTGGCCTTAGGCTGGCCTGTGGGATGCGGAGTCGGTCGGCTCGGCCAGCACACTGATTCCGAGAGTCGTTTTCGTCGCTCTGTCTGTCTCGTATCCATACGGGACGCCCCGTGAGTGCGAGAGAGACAGAGCGACGCAGACGACTCTCGGAATTATTCTGCAGATCGCGTAGCGGATCGGTCGCCCCTGGCGAAGCAGAGTAGGCCACCCACACTGCAAGCAGTGGACAGTGAGTGGGCCAGAGGACCGGTGGCCGGTGGAGGTGGACAAAACGCTAGACGCGTTTTGAACTCCAGAGTCACTAAATGGGACTCGAACCGAACGTGTGACCCCACCAATGGATTGCTCTCCGAACGAGGAATCCATTGGTGGGGTCACACGTTTGGTTCGAGCCCTGCTTAGCGACCCTGGAGCTCAAAACGCGTCTAGAGTTTTGACCGCCCCCACCGGTCTTCTGGCCCACTGTGCGGCGGGCTGCCTACCCGCGTGGCCCCGTCCCGCCCCGCCACGCTACGCCCCGCTTGTCTTGCTTGTCCTCCTCCTCCTCAAGGCGTGGCCGAGACACAAACATTGTGCGCGAGAGTCGCGAGACAGAGAGAGAGAGAGAGAGAGAGAGAGAGAGAGAGAGAGAGAGAGAGAGAGAGAGAGAGAGAGAGAGAGAGAGAAGGACACCGGACGCGCGGTTCGCAGGAGAGAGACGCGGGACTCCGGCGAGTGCGTTGGCGGGCCAGTATTCCTGCTAGCAGACGACAGCGGTGGGGCGGCGGCTCCGGGGGGCAGGGCAGGGCAGGGCAGGGCAGGGTGGTTGGAGGGGAGGGGGAGGGGGAAGGCCGCTCGCTGAGAGCCAGTCGCGCTCTCGTCTCGGTTCGCGTCGCCGCGTTTCAGGACGTTCGGGGCGCCCAGCTGTCGTGTGCGGTCGGTGTTGTGATTTCGGCTTTCGGCCTGCAGGGACGCTTTCGCGCATCAACCTGCCAGTGTCAGCTGTCAGTCGTGTCGGCGGGCGGGACTTGATCGGGACCGGCGTGGACGCCATGCGCTGACACCGGGCGCCGACGGCGTCCTGGACCGCCGCGATGAGGCTTCGCGTGGAGGGGTTGCCGCGCTGGACGACGAGGACGAGGACGACGACGCATGGAGGACACTGCAGCAGATGAGGCTCGCCAGCGACGCGGTGCGGAGAAGGTGAGGACTCGCCTCGTTTCGGCGACTCTGCAGACTCATTCCGAGAGTCGTTTTCGTCGCCCTGTCTCTCTCGCACCCACAGGGCACGCCCTATGAGTGCGAGAGAGACAGAGCCTCCTTGGGGTGGGTTCACGCGGCTCACGCGAGCAAGGGATGTCGTTACGTTGGGAGCACTGTCTTCGCCGCGCGACCCTGGACGACGGTTCGGTTCCCGCCGCGGGCGGCAAATTCTGCTGTTACCCGTCGTGTCACCCCGGCGGTTCACAGTGGGCCAGAAGACCGGCGCAGGCGGCCAAAACTCTAGACGCGTTTTGAGCTCCAGAGTCGCTAAATGGGACTCGAACCGAACATGTGGCCCGACTGTGAACGAGGCATTTGGCGGGCGGCAGCCACCTGTTTGTAGCCCTGGACTCGATTCGATGTCCAGAGCCTGAAAGGACTCGACTCGAATCGTAGACTGGACGTGCCAATATGGATTCCTCGTTCGAAGGGCAGTCCGCCGAGTTGAATCGCCTGTTTCTTTCTCGCTGTCTGTGTTCCTCCGTGTGTCTCGGCAACCCAGATAGACAAGCCAGCCTGCACAGTGGGCCAGAAGACCGGCGCAGGCGGCCAAAACTCTAGACGCGCTTTGAGCTCCAGAGTCGCTAACCATGACTCGAACCGAGCGTGTGACCCCACCAATGGATTCCTCGTTCTGAGAGCAATCCATTGGTGGGGTCACACGTTCGGTTCGAGTCCTGTCTAGCGACTCTGGAGCTCAAAACGCGCCTAGAGTTTTGGCCGCCTGCACCGGTCTTCTGGCCCACTGGGCGCCGCCCTCGCCGTTCCATTCATCTCGGCGCTGGCGCAGCGCGCGGCATCGCCAGCACCGCGCGGCCAGCTGACTGACTCCGAGGGTCGTCGCTCTGTCTCTCTCGCACCTCTACGGGGCGCCCCAGGAGTGCGAGTGAGACAGAGCGACGACTCTCGGAGTCAGCCTGCAGGCGCAGCGCGCACGTGGGCGTCGCGCGTCGCGAGGCAAGACGCGGTGGCGGCATGGTGGCGGGGAGACGCCGAGGTGACTGGGTGCGGCGCGTGGCGGGGGGGGGGCGGGCGGGGCGGGGGCGGGGCGGCGGGGCGGGGGTGGGGCCACTCCGGCCCTAGTAGTCAGCTAGCTGTCCATTTCCGGTCCGAGCTGCCGCGCTCGGTGGATTGCGTTCCGGGCGGCGCTGGTCCAGCTTTTGCCGGACAAACGACAACCAACCGTGCCACAGTGGGCCAGAAGACCGGTGGAGACAGCCCGCACTCTAGACGCGTTTTGAGCTCCAGAGTCGCTAAATGGGACTCGAACCGAACGAGTGACCCCACCAATCGACTCCTAGTTCAGAGAGCAATCCATTGGTGGGGTCACACGTTCGGTTCGAGTCCCCTTCAGCGACTCTGGAGCTCTAAACGCGTCTAGAATTTCGGCCGCCTCCACCGGTCTTCTGGTCCACTGTGCGAGCCGCGAGCCTAACCTAACCACACTCTGGGTGCCTCACCTGTCCCGCCTTTCGTGGTTTCCGACTTGAGAGTCCAGGGTTCGCCACCTGTGCGGCGCGGCGCCGCTTTCTTCACAGAGGCGTCGGGGACGGCGGCACGGCGACGCACCTTGGGAGGAAGTGGTGTGGGCTGCGTGTCATTTGTATGCGCGGGTTATGCACCGTGTGTGTCTGAGAGAGAGAGAGAGAGAGAGAGAGAGAGAGAGAGAGAGAGAGAGAGAGAGAGAGAGAGAGAGAGAGAGAGAGAGAGAGAGAGAGAGAGAGAGAGAGAGAGAGAGAGAGAGAGAGAGTCACGACGACGGCGCCCCCAAAGCGCCGTCTATTAGACGCGAAGACGTCCGTTGGCTTCCGTCCTCCTCCTGCATACAGATTCCCTCGACGGCGACACGTGCCTCAGGGCCTGCATGGCCTTCAGCGCCGCCCCACTGTGGGCCAGAAGACCGGTGGAGGCGGCCAAAACTCTAGACGCGTTTTCAGCTCCAGAGTCGCTAAATGGGACTCGAACCGATTGTATAAAACCACCAATAGATAGCTCTCCGAAAGAGAAATCCGTAGGTGGGGTCACACGCTCGGTTCAAGTCCTTTAGCGACTCAGGAGTTCCAAAAGCGTCCAGGGTATTGGCCGGCGGCGCTAGGCTTTTGGCCCACAGTGCACCATGCCCACTACCCCCGCGCAGAGTAACCGAATCCCCGGCGCTGCGCGGCGCTCTGCCTGCACACTGCGGGGGGTCTGAAGGGAAGGGCATGAAGGGCCTGGACGAGCTGAAGGGTCTGAAGTCTCCGCGTGAGAAACCCTTTCTATCCGCCTAGTCGCCCCTGCGCCGCGCCGCGCTGCTGCGGTTCGGGTTCCAATCCCTTCCTTTGTCGTGCATGCAGCGCGCTCAGCGCGCCGCGAAATGAGACGCCGGATTGTCGCCTGGGGGGCACAGTGGGCCAGGAGACCGGTGGAGGCGGCCAAAATCCCGGACGCGTTTTGAGCTCCAGAGTCGCTAAATGGGAGTCGGACCGAACGTGTGACCCTACCAATGGATTGCTCTCCGAACGAGGAATCCATTGGTGGGGTCGCACGTTCGGTTCGAGTCCCGTTTAGCGACTCTGGAGCTCAAAACGCGTCTAGAGGTTTGGCCGCCGGCGCCGGTCTTCTGGCCCACTGTGCAACGAGGATCTTGATGATCCGGCAAGTCAAGCCGCAGTTTACAACGAGCGCCGCACGGTACTGTGTGCCTACCGTGGACGGTCCGTGGACGCCGAGGCGGCGAGGGCTCGTCGGCACGCTCAATCACCTTTCTGATTGGTGGCCCGCGCGGCCGAGAGTCGCTCTGTCTCTGTCGCACTCGTGCGGAGGTCCGAGGGGGTGCGAGAGAGACAGACGAGTGCCGGTTTGCGCGCTGGAGCGCTGGAGCCGCTGGAGTCCGTGGGTGGCGCCAACACCGCGGTGGGACTCACGTGGGCGGGGCTGCGCGGGCCGAGTCCGGGCAGTTGCGCCGTCTCTCTCGCTCTCGTGGAGCGTCCCGCACCGGTGCGAGAGAGTCGCCACGCCGACTGTTGGGGCCGTACGGGCTCCATCTACACCATCTACACACACAGCTCGCCTCGCGGGCCGGCCTGGACTTGCCGCTTGCAGCGTGCTTGCAGTGTGCTTGCAGTGTGCTTGCAGCGTGCTTGCAGCGTGCTTGCAGCGTGCTTGCAGCGTGCTTGCAGCGTGCTTGCAGTGGGGGCTTGCAGGGGGGTTTCTTTGCAGTGTGCTTGCAGGTGCTTGCAGTGTGCTTGCAGTGTGCTTGCAGCGTGCTTGCAGCGTGCTTGCAGTGTGCTTGCAGTGTGCTTGCAGCGTGCTTGCAGTGTGCTTGCAGCGTGCTTGCAGTGTGCTTGCAGTGTGCTTGCAGCGTGCTTGCAGCGTGCTTGCAGTGTGCTTGCAGCGCCTCCAGCTGGTGGCTTCAGCGCTGCGGCATGGCCTCAGCCTGCTTTAGCCTCCTTCAGCAGACTGATTCCGAGAGTCGTTTTCGTCGCTCTGTCTCTCTCGCACCTCAGCGGGACATCCCATGAGTGTGAAAGGAACAGAGTGATGAAAACGACTCTCGGAATCAGTCTGCTGCACGCCCAGCTTCGTTTGACAGAGCACACTGTGTCACGCTGGCTCCAGTCAAGCTGGAGCCAGGCTGGAGTCAAGCCGTACCCAAGCTGGAACCAAGCTGGAGCCGAGCTGGAACCAAGCTGGAACCAAGCTGGACCCAAGCTGGACCCAAGCTGGAACCAAGCTGGAACCAAGCTGGACCCAAGCTGGACCCAAGCTGGACCCAAGCTGGACCCAAGCTGGACCCAAGCTGGAGCCGAGCTGGAGCCGAGCTGGAGCTATGCTATGGACCCAAGCTATGGGCCCAAGCTATGGACCCAAGCTATGGACCCAAGGTATGGACCCAAGCTATGGGCCCAAGCTATGGACCCATGCCATGGACTCATACCATGGACCGATGCCATGGACCCAAGCTGGACCCAAGCTGGACCCAAGCTATGGACCCATACCATGGACCCATGCCATGGACCCAAGCTGGACCCCAGCTGGAGCCAACCTAAGGCTCCCCGGAGGCTGGGGCGGCGTCACTACCCCACGCGTCACAGAGGCCAAAGGCGCGGGGTGTCGCCATCTCTCTCCCATTGATGGCACCATGGGCGTAGCCAGCGCGTGGCGGCGTGGCGCGGCGCGGCGACGAGTGTACGGCCGTTGTTGTACGCGCCCACCTGAGCGACTGAGCGTCCGGGGCGGCGGGGCGGAGCCTTCGCGGCGTCCTGGCGGAGTCCAGGCGAAGCAGGCGAAGCCGCGGCCGGGACGCCCCGCGTGGGCGTCAGCGGCGTCAGCCCGGAGTCGCGGCATGGCCAGCCACGGCCCCTTGTCTCTTACTGCATCCGCACGTCCGGTACACCTGCCTTGTGTGTGTGTGTGTGTGTGTGTGTGTGCGCGCGTGTGTGTGTGTGTGTGTGTCTGTCTGTCTGTCTGTCTGTCTGTCTGTGTCTGTCTGTCTGTCTGCCTGTCTGTCTGTCTGCCTGTCTGTCTGTGTTTCTGTGTCTATGTTTGTCTGTCTGTCTGTCTGTGTGTCTGTGCGTGTCTGTCTGCGTGAGAGGGTGTACTATGCCATTGCGATGAGAAGCTCCAGACAGAAAAGACACTTGGCCGTCGACGTTGTAGGACCGCGCACTTTTGGTGTTTTATCGGTCCCTTGTGTGCATTCAAACAGCCAAAGTCAAAGATCCCATCCAGCTAGTCTCAGACCGTCGAAAATAGCCACTTTTGGGGTGTTTAATCCCTTACCAAATCCAAAGGGGGTGCCGGATTTCGTCCAAATGTCTTCTCAGCCGTTCGCATGCATACAAGGGACCGATAAAACACCAAAGATGCGCGGTCCAAGGACGTCGCCGGCCCAGAGTTTTCTTTTTGTCCAGAGCTTCTATAGATACCACTTCTTGGACATTGCACTGCACATGGCACTGTTGGTACCCGCGCCAAGCCGCGCCGCCAGTGGCTGCTCTAGGCCAGCGCGCTGCCCACTCCATCCGGCGCCACAGTGCGAACCTACTTCGGTAGAAAATACCGCTCGCGGCCTTGAGCTTGCATGCCCACATGAAACCAACTAACTAAAATGCCTAATTTAAGTTTTGGCATTTGTGGTGTTCCCTCCCCCCTTAAACAGAACTAAGAGGATTCGAGGGCTCAAAAATAACATAAGATTAAACGAACATGGCACACATAAAACAGCCAAGTACTGGCTGTTACTGTATCAACAGCAACCAAGTACCTACTGCGGACTTCCCTCGAGTAGAGGTCATCCATAATGAGTATAATTAATCAAAGAGTAATATGTACATCAAGTGTGAAATAACTAATTTTTAAATTTCCAGATTTTTTACTTTTTTTTCCTTTTGAAACGAGGTTTAGTCCTTAAGACGATATACGAAGAGTTAAAGTGTATGCTCCAATTTTCACGGGAATATGAGCGTTAATAGGCCCGAGTTCAATAGCCCTGGCGACCCCGTCTACGAGCCAGGCCCACCAGGAACACCTGGTGGTCCCGGCCCCGTATTGGAGCCCGGACCACCAGGAGGACCATTCAAACGGACCTACTGTTAAAGATATTATGGATTTTCCATCGGCGGCCAGCTCGAGCTGAATCTTAATGGTGTCCATATTACTCTTTGATTCTCCTCCTCCTGCTGAGGTCGAGTTAGGCCCCAGAAGTTACTGATCTCCTATACGCAGCAAGCACCGCGAGCGCGCATTAGCACGGGCACGTGGGTAGCGCTCTGTTGGCGAACTCGCGAACCGCGTTGAAAGCAAGCTCGCTCGAAGCGCACTCGGCGGCAGTAGTATGCACTAGGGAGCCTGGAGTAGGTATCCAGGTAAACTCGAAACTTGAAGCTGAGCCGCCGGTGCGGTGGCGGTCTCTGGCGAGCCTTCAAACCTCTCCCGGCCGCGCGCGCAGCCACCGACGGTGGCGCGCTCTGCCGGCGAACCCGCGAACCGCGTGGCGAGCGAGCGGCCACGTCCGAGAGGGCCTTGTTGACGGCGCGGCAGCGCGGCAGGCGGCGCCGCGGAGCACGCCGCGGACGCCACCGCTTCGCAGTTCGCGCTGGTGCCGCTGGGCGGCGTCGCGAACAGCGACTGGGTTCCCCGAGACAAATATTTGTTATATTTCGGTAAATTGTGGTCAGGCCGAGCGCCATGGCGTCCGCCATCGGTCGAGTAATTTCGGCGCTTCCCGTGTGTGAACGCCGCGGCGGTGCTGCTGTAGGCAGGGAACTGGCATCGCGGTCCGAAGCCGGGCCTCGCGAGCTGCTGCCCGGGGTCTACTCCGCGCACCGTTTTGGTTAGTCAGAGTGGCCAACTCTTCTCAGTATACTTACCTGGCGCAGAGGTTAACCGTGATCACTAAGGCGGTTCCTCCAGGCCGAGGCCCTCCCATTGCACTTCGGTTGGGCTGAATCCTGCGAGTATCCCAAATGTGGATACCTCGGGCGTATAATTTTTGATAGTCGGGATTGCGTTCGCGCTCTCCCGGATAATCTGGATCAAGGTGATGGAAGGTGGGATCTACCTCGGCAATCACGGCCAAGCAGGATAGACTCGCGATGAGGTGTGCTGTTCAAAGAGCCCAATGAAGACCCGATACGATACTATTAGAAGAACATCTATGGCCTCACGGCACCGGGGTATCATCCAAAACACACTCATGACCGCAGGCGAAGAAATTTGTGAGTCCACGACGAGATGTCCGCGGCCCTGGTCGTCCCCCGCGTTGCATCGCGTTCGCGTACCTCCTGAAGTGCCTCACGGCGTAGGCCAAGCCAGCCGTCGCACAGTGGGCCAGCAGACCGGCGGTTGAGCTCCATTGTCGCTAGATGAGACTCGAACCAAACGTGTGACCCCACCAATGGACTGCTCTCCGAACGAGGAATCCATTGGTGGGGTCACACGCTCGGTTCGAGTCCCATTTAGCGACTCTGGAGCTCAAAACGCGTCTAGAGTTGTGGCCGCCTGCGCCGGTCTTCCGACCCACTGTGCGTCTCCGTCTGGCTGACCGAGTCTGTTCTTGCTGCTGCAGGTGACGATGCTCTTGCTGGTGCTCGCCGCCGCCCTCCTGACCCGCGCCACCCCAGCACTGTGCCAGCCGCCGCCGCCGAGCCATGTCCAGGACGACGTCGACGGCCACGTGCACGAGGACGCGGAGGACGCGCAGTGGCTTTGCCCGCGGGTTGGCGTCGAGGCGGAAGAGGCGCCGGCGGCGGGCGTGCCCGGCCAGGGCGGCCAGGGCGTGCAGGACGGCGACGCGGTGACGTGCTCGTGCGACCTGCCGCACACGCTGCGCTGCACCGGCGGCCCCGACACACTGCTCGAGGTGGCCGCCAAGCTGCGCGCGCTGCCGCCGCGCTACGTGTCGCTGCTGGACGCCACCGTGACGGGCGTCTCCGCGCTCGGCCCGCTGCTGGACGGCGTCGCCCTGCACGGCCTCGTCGTCTCCGGCGAGCTCAAGACCGTCGAGCCGCACGCGTTCTCGCGCCTGCTGCGCGACGGCACCGAGCCCCGCCTGCAGGCCCTGGGGCTGCCCGGCAACCTCCTTGACGCCGTGCCCGCCGCCGCGCTCGCCGCCCTCCCCGACCTCGACAGGCTGGACCTGTCGCACAACCGGCTGCGCTCCCTGCCCGTCGACGCCTTCCCCGTGAGTCAAGTCCAGCAGTGGTGCTGCACGAGTAGCCACGAATTCTCTATGTCAGCCTGAGCCTTCTCCAAAGGGAAGCCCGGGACAGCGGGCAAGGAGCCCAGTGGAGGCGGCAAAAACTCTAGCCGCGTTTTGAGCTCCAGAGTCGCTAAAAAGGACTCGAACCGAACGTGTAACCCCACCAATGGATTCCTCGTTCGCAGAGCAATCCATTGGTGGGGTCACACGTTTGGTTCGAGTCCCATTTAGCGACTCTGGAGCTCAAAACGCGTCCGGGATTTTGACCGCCTCCACCGGTCTTCTGGCCCACTGAGTGCACCCTGAGGATTTTCGCCCGGGTGCCGCCACTGGTTCAATCACTGGCACCGTCATGACACTCTTCTGCGTCGTCTGGCAGGGCCTCCGCAACCTGACGTTCCTGGACCTGAGCGACAACCAGCTGTCCGACATCGCGGCGGGCGCCTTCCGCTCGCTGGAGGCGCTGCAGACCCTGCGCCTGACGGGCAACCGGCTGCGCGTGGCGCCGCTGTCGCTGTCGCTGCTGGACGGGCTGGACGGGCTGCGGTCGCTGCGGGAGCTGGACCTGAGCAGCAACCAGCTGGCCGGCACACTGGGCGCCGCCGCGCTGCCCCGGCTGGCCAACCTGCGCGCGCTCAACCTGGCCCACAACCAGCTGAGCTCGGTGCGGCGCGGCGCGCTGGCCGGGCTGCCGCAGCTCGCGTCGCTCGTGCTGGCGCACAACATGGTGGACGTGCTGGAGGACCACGCGTTCCGGCACCTGGGGTCGCTGGCGTCGCTGGACCTGGCGCACAACCGCATCGTGGCCGTGTCCGGGGCGTCCCTCGCGCACCTCGCGCGTCTGCGCTCGCTCGCGCTGCAGCACAACTTCCTGCGCGCGCTCACCGCCGACCTGCTGCGGCCCCTCGCCGCGCTGCAGGAGCTGCACCTGGACGACAACGACATCTCCCAGGTCCCCGACGACGCCCTGTCGGCGCTGCGGAGCGCGCGCCTCACGAGGCTCACCCTCGCGGAGAACCCCCTGAACTGCGACTGCGCGTTGAGCCCGTTCGCCAGGTGAGTGAGGATTCACCACAGTGTACCACACCTCAGTGGGCCAGAAGAGGAGGCGTTTTGAGCTCCAGAGTCGCTAAATGGGACTCGAACTGAATGTGTGACCCCACCAATGGATTGCTCTCCGAACGAGGAATCCATTGGTGGGTCACACGATCACACGTTCGGTTCGAGTCCTGTATAGCGACTCTAGAGCCCAAAACGCGTCTGGAGGTTTGGCCGCCTGCGCCGGCCTCCTGGCCCACTGTACACACTGGTAAAACAACCCTAACATTCCGCCATTGCGCCCCCAGGTGGCTGCAGCTCAACGCCACCAAGCTGCCCGTCGCCGACAAGGCGACCGCCGTGTGCGCCGCGCCGCCGCACCTGGAGAACGGCCTGGCCGTGGACGCGGCCGAGGCGCTGTGCCAGGACGACCCCGCCAAGGTGGAGGCCGTGGCCGAGGAGGACGCCGCGCTGCGGCCGGGCCCGGGCGCCTCCGCCGTGCTGCGCTCGCAGGCGCAGGCCGACGCCAGGGTCGCGCTGCGCGCCTTCGAGTTCGACGGCGTCCGGGTGTCGCTGCTGTGGCGCGTCAACGTCACGACCGCGCCCTACGTCTGCGACTCCCTGTTCGTCTACGAGGAGCACGCACCGTCCGGCGGTAAGCTCTCGCGCGGTAGGCCGGAAGACCGACCGCCGTCAGACAAAACTCTAGCTAGACGCGTTTTGAGCTCCAGAGTCGCTAAACAGGACTCGAACCGAGCGTGTGACCCCACCAATGGATTCCTCGTTCGGAGAGCAATCCATTGGTGGGGTCACACGTTCGGTTCGAGTCCCAATTAGCGACTCTGGAGCTCAAAACGCGTCTGGAAGTTTGGCCGCTTCCACCGGTCTTCTGGCCCACTGTGAAGGTCCCCATGCTCCCTGTGCTGCAGGTGGCGGCCACGAGGCGCTGGTGGAGAGCACGCCGCTGGGCTGCGACTCGTCGCAGCTGGCCGACCCGCGCTCCCTGCTGCTGTCCGTGGCCGTGGCCGGCGCCGTGGCCGCGCCCGTCTCGCCGGAGCCGCGCCTCGTGGCGGGCCGCCGGTACCGCTTCTGCCTCGTGCTGCTGGAGGGCGGCGGCGACCACGACGACCTGGCCCTGGTGGTGAGTACAGCGCGCGCGGCAGCGCCGTCCGGGGCACAGTGAAGACGGCCGGACAAAACTCTAGACGCGTTTTGAGCTCCAGAGTCGCTAAGTGGGACTCCAACCGAGCGTGTGACCCCACCAATGGATTCCTCGTTCGGAGAGCAATTCATTGGTGGGGTCACACGTTCGGTTCGCGTCCCATTTAGCGACTCTGGAGCTCAAAACGCGTGCGGGATTTTGACCGCCTGCACCGGTCTTCTGGCCCACTGTGCGAGGGTAAGAGTTCCGGAACGCCGCGATCCTTGATGTATTCCGATCCTGTGTACGCAGGTTGGGTGCTCCGACGTGCTGCCCCTCGTCAAGACCGCGGCCGCCGTGGTGCCTCCGATGGCGCCCTCCGTGGTGGCCGTGGGCTCCACGTCGGCGTCCACGTCCGCGCCGCGCATTTCTGGGCTGTCCGCCAACGTGACCTCCACCGGCGGGCTGGCGGTGTGGGTGCAGATGGCCGAGGCGCCCACGTCGTCGCCGTGCCGCTTGACGGTGACGGTGTTCGCGGGCGGCGCCCTGGCGGCGCAGGAGCGCCTCAACTGCTCCCTGCCCGGCACCATCATCACGGGGGTGGCCGGCGCGGGCGCGCTGCAGGTGTGCGCCACGGCGGGGGAGCTGACGTCGTCCAGCCGCACGCGCTGCACGTCCGTGGCCACGTCCGTGGCGGCGGGTCGCGGCCGCGCGTCCTCGGCGGCGGCCTCGGGGGCGGCGGGCTTGGCGGCGGCGCTGGCGGGGGCGGCGCTGCTGGGCGGCACGGTGGCCGTGCTGGTGCTGGCGCTGTGGTTGTGGCGCCGCGTCCGCCGCGTCCGCAGGGCCCGCGTCGGCGCCCCGCTGGGCCTGGACCACGACACTGGGCAGCTCTACCTGCCCCCGCGGGCCCCCGAGCACGACCAGCACGCCCGCTACGTCAAGCTGCAGGCCACCACCAAGCTGTAGTGCACTGTGGTGTGGCGCGGCAGTTGGTCGAACCCTCACCACGCAGTGGGCCAGAAGAAGGGCCACGGCGGTCCAAACTACACGCGTTTTGAGCCCCAGAGTCGCTATTTGGAACTCGAACCTTGGAGTATGCCCTACTCCAAGCTCGAACCGAGCGTGTGACCCCACCGATGGATTCCTCGTTCGGAGAGCAGTCCATTGGTGGGGTCACACGTTCGGTTCGAGTTCCATTTAGCGACTCGAGCTGAAAATGCGTGTAGAATTTGCCACCTCCGCCGTTCTTCTGGCCCACTGTGCGCCGCGCAGATCCTCCCTTGCGTCCTGGATGTGCCTGCACTCCACGGATGGAGTATCCAGCCGAAGGCCGAACAGAGTCGCCTGTTGGATGCCAACCTTGGGCGACTGAAGGAATGTGGCACACTCTGGCACTGCAGTACAGTGTGCCAAAGAACAGAGCCGTGACTCAAGAGTTTTATAAGGTCACGCATGAGATCTGAAATGTGATTTTTGAAATCTAGTTAACCCTATTCGTACAATAATTCTCATGAAGCCCCTGCCATGTCGAGGGCAGCTAGTCCAAAACCTATTTATCTTAGGTTACAAAGTAGTTTAAGTGGACCAAATTTTAATAATTGTAAAGAAATGTTATATTGAGCGAAAATATATGGTTCTTCTCCTGGAACCGACAAACTTTGACCCCTGTCACTTCTTGTTTCTGGTCAAAAATAAACAAAAATGCCATTTAATGGGTCTCTTTTAATAATTTACACCTGCGCCCTTCAATAATTATTCAAAGCGTGGTGAATGAGATCGGCGGTACTTTTTGCGAGGGGGCAACCACTTTGGATGTTTGGGGACACAAGATTTCTTAAGGCTAAAGATTTCATCGGATTTCGCAAGATTTTAACCTATATTCCGCCCAAAATTAGCTTGTTTTTGGCCTTTTTGGGGCAAGATTTCAGATTTCTCAGAGATTTCTAGCGCCAAGGGGACACAAGATTTCCAGAGCGGTTGCCCCCTCGACTTTTGGTGTGGTTTGACGTTCGCTGGCTGACAAATTTGAGGAAAATGACGAGCCGTGCCACTGTTCTGAGGCGGAATCGTCGGGAAACATGGAAACATTGCCTCCCCGCTGGTGCCCGTGGGCTGAGGTGCAGAGAAGTGCATAGAGGTGCGGTCCTCTGGGTCCACTCGCCCACTGCCCATTGTTCCGATGCTGTGGCTGCTGGCGCTGCTGGCGTTCGCCCTCGCCGCGGCGCCCGTTAGTGAGTAGCCAGCTGCGCCGCCAACTCACAAAAAAATTAAATACGCCACAGTTTTGTTTGGAAAAGTACTCGAGTGACGGGAATGCAGTTTATCGAATGACGAATGGATAAATAGATGCACGGATGAGTCAATGCACAGTGGGCCAGAAGACCGGTGGAGGCGGCCAAAATTCTACACGCGTTTTGAGGCGCAGAGTCGCTAAATGGGACTCGAACCGAGCGTGTGACCCCACCAATGGATTGCTCTCCGAATGAGGTATCCATTGGTGGGGTCACACGCTCGGTTCGAGTCCTGTCTGGCCACTCTGGAGCTCAAAACGCGTCTAGAATTTCGGCCGCCTCCACCGGTCTTCTGGCCCACTGTGCAATGTTGTGCCTCTGGGGGCTGCTGCGGCTCCCACCGCCCCTGGCGCCCTCCGCGGCGCGGACGAGGCCGACGTCGATGACGGCTACGCCGACCTGGACGTGGACGGCGACGAGGACGCCAAGGAGGGCGACGAGCTGGCCGGCGCCGACGAGTTCCCCCACCACGCCGTCGTCGTGCCCGGCCAGGGTACCCTCATCTGCGGCGGCGCCCTGCTGCGCCCCGAGTGGGTGCTCACGTCGGCGCACTGCATGGAGAAGTAGGCCAAGCCGCAGCCCGGATGCACCGCACCACTGTCGGAAGGGTCGGACGGAAGGGGCGATCAGGAGACCGGCGCAGGCGGCCAAAACTCTAGACGCGTGTTGAGCTCCAGAGTCACTAAATGGGACTCGAATCGGACGTGTGACCCCACCAATGGATTCCTCGTTCGGAGAGCAATCCATTGGTGGGGTCACACGTTCGGTTCGAGTCCAATTCAGCGACCCTGGAGCTCAAAACGCGTCGAGAGTTTCGGCCGCCTCCACCGGTCTTCTGGCCCACTATGCTCCCTCCCTGCTGCAGTGTCCGCACCACCTACGTGGGTCTGGCCGTCACCCGCCTGGACGGACGCGGCCAGGACGAGCAGTGGCAGCTGTCCGAGGAAATCCACGTAAGTCGCTGCAGCTTGCAGTGTAGGTCCTCCCGACTGACGCGAGAGTGTTCCAGATCAACGACCAGTACCGAGTGGGCGTCGTGGACCACGACATCGCGCTGGTGCGCCTTCCCAAGCCCGCCACGTTGACCCGTGAGTCGATTCGAGTCCTTACGGAATCGCCACCTCCCTGGGGACAAACAGTTGCTAGAAGACCGGTGGGGGCGGCCAAAACTCTAGACGCTTTCTGAGCTCCAGAGTAGCTAAATGGGACTCGAACCGAGCGTGTGAGTCCATCAATGGCTTGCTCTTCGAACGATGAATCCATTGGTGGGGTCACACGTTCGGTTCGAGTCCCATTTAGCGACTCTGGAGCTCAAAACTCGTCTAGAGTTTTGGCCGCCTCCACCGGTCTTCTGGCCCATTGTGGGACAGAGTATCCCCTCCCACTCACCTATCCGCAAAACGGTTTTATAATCACGTTCCTTCACCACGACAGCGTACGTCAAGACCATCAGGCTGCCGGCTGCGACGGGCACTAGGACGAACGGTCGCGTTTTGGTGAGGCAGCGTTCCGGAATCGCGAAGACAAGCGTGTGGGAGTGTTGCCACATGAGAAGGCAAACCTCCCCACAGTGTTGCATGCGGCCAACACTCTAAACGCATTTTGAGCTCCAGAGTCGCTAAACAGGACTCGAACCGAACGTGTGACCCCACCAATGGATTGCTCTCCGAACGAGCAATCCATTGGTGGGGTCACACGTTCGGTTCGAGTCCTGTTTAGCGACTCTGGAACTCAAAACGCGTCTAGAGTTTTGGCCGCCTCCGCCGTTCTTCTGGCCCACTGTGCGTGCGGTGCCCGGGTGTCTCTAGCGCAGCTTCTCCTGAGACAGATGAGCGGGTTCGGCTCCAAGCCCGGGGGGCTGCTGCGCCGCGTCAGGGGGCGGCTGCTCACCAGCCAGCAGTGCAGCGCCCACTACGGGAACATCGGCCGCGGCCACTTCTGCGCGCAGACTCCTCGCAGGGCGTACCAGACTTGCTACGTGCGTGCCTCACACTGCTAAAAACAAATGTAGAATATCCTGGAAAGTGCGTTCCGAAGCTCCGTCGGGAATTTCCAGAGGCCTAATTATTATTTTTTAGAAAGATCCCCCCTCCCCAGGAAACTCATCAAAATTAGAAACAATAGAGGGTTTGGAATTGGCCTAAATTGGGAGGCCACTTTATCACGAACAAATTCTTTGAGAATTTCCCAGATAATTTTTAACGGGGTGGTCAACTGCGTTTTCAAGGGGATGACACAGTCTCGGTGTTTGGCAGGGCGATCTTGGCAGCGGTCTGGTGGCGTCCAACAAGGCGGTGCTCTTGGGGCTCGCTTCCGTGGCCAGGCAAGTACACTGGCAACAGGCAACGACACTGTACATGGAAAAAACCTTCTCTGCGTGTCTCGGTGGCTCAGAGTTCAGAGGCAGCGACCACCCTGAGGTCGCCTTGGGTTCGAAACCCAGGGACGTCGGCAACAGTCTAAGTTTTGGCTGGCGAAGTTTCATGTGGCAGGTGGCTCAGTGAGTAAATGTGTCTGCCGCGCTGAGAAAGACTTGGGTTCGAATCCCACGTATACCTTTTTCCTCAGCCACAGAAATGTTGACCATCACTCTAAAATCGATCGCATGAACTCCCAGTGGCTCGGTGGCTGAGACGGTAGAGGTGTCGGCCGGCGGGAGGGAATTCTGGGTTCGACTCCCAGGTGAGTTAACATTTTCTTCAGTTTGCTTCTCAAACCCGGTACCATCACTCTAAGATTGCTCGCGTCAACTCTCAGTGGCTGGGTGGCTGAGTTGGTTGGGGTGTCGGCCGGCGGCGGGAAGCCCTGGGTTCGACTCCCAGGTGAGTGAATCTTTTCCTCAGTCTGCTTTCCAAACCCGGTACCATCACTCTAAGATCGGACGTGTTGGAGAAGTGTGTTGTCGTAGCTCAGGTGGCAGAGCGATGGGCCGCGGAGGCTGGTTGGAGGCCATGCGACAGCATACGATTCCCGTTGGACCTGGTTCGCCACCCAGGTCAGGTTGCTAACCCTTTATGATTGCCCTACTCCGCTCTCCTTCGGGGAGGGGGGGTAGGGGGGGAGGGGCCGACGGCGGGAACTCTTTTGCACCTTAGAGAGAAAGCTAGCGCTTAGGGGAGCGCCACCGAGGTAGGCCACCCAATTGACACGCTGGGGTTGGGTTGTGCGTATGGGGAAGAGAGACGGCACTTCAACTACCACCCATTAGTTTAGCGGAGCCCCTCAGTGTTAGGCCACCTCTTCTGCACCTTAGAAACTTAGAGGTTAAAGAGCCGCCCATTCGCCACGCTGCTGCGGTTGTCCAAAAGTATCGCCGCGGCGGACAATCTCGCCGGGATTTGAACCCAAGCCCTTCCACCCTGGGTCGACACCTCTGCCCACTGAGCCACCGGGGGGCTGATACTCAAGCCATGCCTAAACTTAGACTGATAGAACCGCATTCGAGCAATCAACTGAGGAAAATGTTTCTGTACCTGGTATTCGAACCCAAGTGCCTTCTCGTGTGACCACTCCCTCTGCGCTCTCAGCCACCGAGACATTGGAACTACGCTCGCCGATCTTGATATTGATGGTGAGGAAAACATTGCCACACCTGCTTTGGATTCGAAAAGAAAAGTTTCGATCGCACGGGGCTCGAACCCGAGCTCTTCATACACCAGCTCACTCCTTAGCCCAAGCAGCCACCGATTCGCTGCTAAAGGTTGGCATCGAAACTTGCACTGTTGATACCAGATTCAAGTGGTCAACTGATGAAAAGATACACGTGTCTGGGATTCAAAACCATATCCACTCATAGTGAACGACACTCAGACTTATCGCACTGGATTGCAGAAGTAGACTTTGGAAAAGAACAACCCGCCTGGGATTCGAACTCTGTCACTTCTCGGGGTCAGGATGTCTCTATCACCGCAGCGTGACGTGTTGAATGGGTGGCCTACCTTCACGGTGCCATTGTTCATTCAAAGGCGTACAGCGCGCAAAACACTTCTCCTTACAGGCTAGACCCACAGGGCCTCGCCTTCACGGGGTGCGAGATGCTTGAGGAGAGCGCCGGGATGCTAGGCAACCCAACGCACGGATCGCCCAGCCTGTTGGGTTGCCTGTCCTCAAGGCGTCCCAGGCCCCCGGCACAGTGGGCCAGAAGACCGGCGGAGGCGGCCAAAACTCTAGACGCGTTTTGAGCTCCAGAGTCGCTAAATGGGACTCGAACCGAACGTGTGACCCCACCAATGGATTGCTCTCCGAGCGAGGAATCCATTGGTGGGGTCGCACGTTCGGTTGGGTTCCTGACGCTAGGCTGTGCTGCGCAGGTGCAGCTGGAAGTCGCCCACGGTCTTCACGAGGGTCAGCGAGTACGTGCCGTGGATCCTGCGCGTCATGGGCGACGCCCCCGAGGCCACGACCGACGGCGACCTGGTGACGCTCTCCCGGCGGCTCCGGACCCTGGACCCCAGGCCAACCCCGCGGCCCGCGCAGCGGGTGCCGATCTGGGCATTCCCCGGCAACGCGCTGCCCCAACCCCAAGCACCCCAAGCACTCCAACCCCAAGCACCACAAGCACCTCAACCCCAAGCACCCTACCAGCTGCCACCACTGCCGCCTCCCTACCAGCAGGCCCCCGTTGCCCCGCCTGCCTACCAGTCACCCCCGTTCGAACACCCTTTCCAACTGCAGCCGCTCGCCACCGCCCCGCCTCCCTACCAACTGTCGCCTGCACTGTTCGCTGCCTCCGCCCCGCCACCCTTCCACTTGCCACCCTCGCCGCCGTCCGACGGTGTGCCGTCCGCTGGGTCCTTCGGGCAGCAGCCGGGCCGGCCGTACCAGTACGTGCCGAACCTAGCCGCGCTGGCAGGCCTGCAAGTGGATCAGTACCCCGGCCCGGTGCCAGCCGTCGCACCTGCATCGCCTTCAGCAGGGGCTGCTCCGGAACGCAAGCCGAGCATGGCGGGCATCCCCGGCCCGGTCAGGGAGTCGCACTACCTCGGTGCTTGGCCAGGCACCGGTTGAATAAAGGCCATGATGCCATGGGCCCAACAACAATGGTGATGATGAAGTCTCTTGCGCTCCAGTGGTGTGGCACTGGCAGTGGCGTGGCACTAGCCGTTCCTGTATCAACTTCGAAGTGGACGCAGGGTGATGCAGGAGAAGGCAAATGAGAAACGTTCTTCTAAAATAATTTTATTATATTAGGAAAGGAAACATTTAGTGGGACTAATCTTGTGCAGGTCAACAATAGCATGGACCATTTTCATCTTGAGACACAGCATGGTTGCTGTAAAGCCGCTCTGCACCTTACCGTTTCCACTCAGCAATGGTGCAGAGACTAAGCTACGCACAAATGAATTGGCAAGTTTTGCCACAAAAAGAGCATTCGTGTATACATCAAGAATGCGAGGAAATGCTGGCACTTGGGTTCATGTCTGTGTAGGAAAAGTTTGCCTTTGCTAGCGAATTGCAACATACAGTATTTACAGTGATCTGGCATTTGGCACCCTTTTGAAAAAGTCCCTGATTGTATTAGCTACGCATGTCAAACAAAATTACAATTGACTCAATGTTCGTTTGCTTTCGTCAAATGCAGCATGGACTAAGCAAGCACACATGTTGTTCACCTTTAAGAGGCCCTTAAGTGTAGATGGGGAGCATCAAAACTATTCTACTTGGATCTATTTACTTTAAATAGGTGCCTTACTGGATCTTAGCATCTTATTTATGGCCACAGAGTAGACTCAACAACACTTGATTAATCAGTCACAAGCTTTAACTCGAAGTTAACTTAGAGATTCGGATCCTATTTTAATGGGGACTCCTAAATAAAATGTGTCTTTTTTGTCAAAGAACACGTCTACAGAGTAAACTACTCTACTTAAATTTCAAGGGAATGCTTCTTAAAAATAAATAAGGCCATCTGAATGTCTTGATCTAGAAGACAAAACTTGCAAGATGCAAAATGATACAGTCTGTGAGAACAAGTCAGAATCAAAACGCAAAGTACAGATCTTCAATTCAAACTTTCCCAAGGAAATGCAGTTTCATAAGTACATATCGTCGTAAACTTGACTAGAATTTATTCAGAGCAAAATGCAGACAATTCCGAACAGGTAAAGTCCTATGAAACAGATATGTTTTGTGATCTAAGCTGCAATCTGTCATAAGAAACAAAAACATTAGCATTATAAAACTGACAGGAACTTGAAAAACTGTTCACGAAAATATCTGCAGCTCTGGAAGTATGCGTGCTCCGCAAGCAACTCATATGCGTGATTATTTCTGAAAACGACCAACCCAACCAGTCCGTGAGTCTTAAAGGCACCCTTTTTATGCTCACCCCTTTACTGCCATGCCAAGACAAGTAGTAATCCCTTCGTAAAATGTTTCATGACTATACAATTTCAAGATACAAGAAACACTGAATCTGCCTCTAGATATCACTAGTAGATGCCTATATAATCAAGATTGTTAGAACATGCCAAATTTGAATTAACATATAAGGCTCCAAAATATATTTGCACTATTTTCTATCCTATTGCTGAGAGTAGCAAAAATTTAACACAATATGTGGGCTATCCACCAAATCAAAAATGAAAATTCTTTGAGCTACTCAGAGAGCAAAAGCCCTTCCAAGTCAGCTGCGTCGCTTGTCCAAACATGAAAGTTCGTGGTATTTTTCTCAGCAAACAGGACAAAATAATGACAAGATTCGTTTCGACGGGACTACGCGTGCGCCGGCTGAGGCGCGACAGGCGTGGTGGGCGGCGGTGCACAGTGAGGTAGACGACCGGCGGCGGCGTTCAAAACTCTCGACGCGTTTTGAGCTCCAGAGTTGCTAAACAGGACTCGAACCCAACGTGTGACCCCACCAATGGATTCCTCGTTCTGAGAGCCATCCATTGGTGGGGTCACACGTTCGGTTGGAGTCCCATTTAGCGACTCTGGAGCCCGAAACGCGCCTAGAATTTTGGCCACCTCCACCGGTCTTCTGGCCCACTGTGCGGCGTGGACTGGTGGCCCGGTCAGGCCGTGGTGCACATGGTGTCGGCGGGCGCGCCCCCGCCGGACGGTCCGCAGGGCCGGTACGCCCCCGTGAGGGGCCCCACGCCCTGCGCGAGCAGAGCAGTGTGGTGGCGCGGCGACTGGCGCGGCGACGGCGTCTGGGCGGCGTGGCGACGCGGCGACCACCGCGACGACGGGTCCGACGACGCCGGCGGCCACGGGTACTGCTGTGTGACGGAGCCGCGGCGGGGGCTGGGCGGCGGGCGGCGCATGGCGGCGGGCAGCGAGGCCGGCGACGGCCGCGCGCCCCGGACGGGGCTGGAGCTGGCCGAGGACGTCATGCGGTAGCCCAGCTGTGCGTGGAGGTCGTCGAAGTCGGTGGCGCCGCCGGCGCCGGGCCAGAGCAGCACGTCGGAGCCGGGCCAGCCGGGGGGCGTCGGCGCCGGCATGGGGGGTGGTGGCGGCGGCGTGGAGCCCAGCGAGCGGCGGCGCGGCTGCGGGCTGGCGAGGCCGGCGGCCGGCGCCGGGCGGGGGTGGCTCTGGTCCGGGAGGGCCGCCCCCGGGGGCCACTGCTAGGTGTCCATGCCGTACCAGTTGACGTGGCAGGCGATGGTGGGCGTCCGCGGCCGCAGCGTGCGCGGCGTGTGCTCGCGCTCCGACATGGTGCTGGTGGACTCGGTGGTGTCCGACTCGGAGGACGACGGCACCAGGGCGCTGAGGGCGGGCGTGGCAGGCGGGCGCGCTGTGAGCAGCATGTCGCCCCCCGCCACCCGCCATCAGTCGGCGACGTCCGCGCCGAACACGCGCAGCTTGATGTAGAGCGCGCACGACAGCAGCATGCCGAACACCTGGATGACGCTGAGCCCGAGGCCCACGGCGCCGAGCACCTCGAGCTGGCGCCGCAGCTCCTCCAGCAGGCGGTGGAAGCAGCCGGTGTGCGGGATGTTGCTGGGGTGGTCCGAGGCGCCGCACGGCGCGCCGCTGGCCGAGGCCTCCGTCTTGCAGCAGCTGTCCGGCACCTTGGAGCGCTCGTCGCGGCCCGCGCTCTGCATCCACACGGACCGCCGCCACTCCTCGTACGTCTGCGCGCCGCAGCACTTGTACTGCAACATCAACGACAGCGTCGTCAGAAATTGAGCTACTCGAACCGAGCGTGTGGCCCCACCAATGGATTCCTCGTTCGGAGAGCAATCCATTGGTGGGGTCACACGTTCGGTTCGGGTCCTGTTTCGCGACTCCGGAGCTCAACACGCGTCTACAGTTTTCACCCCCTCCACCGGGCCTCTGGCCCACTGTGCGGCGTCGACGGCCTGGTGTCCTACCTCGCGCTGCATGCGGTCGATGGCCGCGGTCCTGGCGGGATCCACGCCGTAGAAGTTCATGAAGGTCTTGTTGAGGTTGACGGCGAGCTCCGTCTCCACGTTCTCCTTGTACACGTAGGCCAGCACGCCCACCATGGCCTCCAGCAGGAAGATGAGCAGCAGCAGGAACGTGTACTGCGGACAGAAGGAAGAAACGAGGCGTCACACAGTGGACTAGAAGACCGGTGGAGGCGCGTTTTAGGCTCCAGAGTCGCTAAATGGGACTCCAACCGAACGTGTGACCCCATCAATGGATTCCTCGTTCGCAGAGCAGTCCATTAGTGGGGTCACACGTTCGGTTCGAGTTCAGTTTAGCGACTCTGGACCTCAAAACGCGTCTAGATTTTTGGCCACGAGCACCGGTCTCCTGACTGATATCTCGTTAACTCCCAAATAAGTCGCTTCTTCACTCAAGATTATTTCCTTGAACGTTTCGCGTGAATTCACTAGTTTCAATTACAATATCTCGGTTCAAGACATGACTTTTTTCGGCGAACGTGGCGCGGCGGCTGGGAGCCACGCCAGCCGGAGTTCTCTTCTCTCGCGTAACCTTCTCAAGGCTGCTCGCAATTTAGAAAAACTTCAAAAAAAAAAAAAAAAAAAAGAGAAAGTCAAGTCGGAGGTCAGGGATCGAACAACGATCCCTCTCTCGCCCCCCTCTCATTATCCATCCCAGGCTACAATATGCAATCATCATCTCTTTTTTTGGAGTGGAGCGGCGGGGGAGGTCGCACAGTGGGCCAGAAGACCGGTGGAGGCGGCCAAAATTCTAGGCGCGTTTTCCAGCTCCAGAGTCGCTAAATGGGACTCGAACCGAACGTGTGACCCCACCAATGAATGGCTCTCCGGACGAGGAATCCATTGGTGGGGTCACACGTTCGGTTCGAGTTCTGTTTAGCGACTCTGGAGCTCAAAACGCGTCTAGAGATTTGGCCGCCGGCGCCGGTCTTCTGGCCCACTGTGGGTCGGGTCGCAGTCTTTGGTTAACTTGAGGGGCTGGCTCGCGAGAGTCTCGCTGATGATAAGCACACAGAGACAATGGCCGGGGCGGTGCGGTACTCGGAGTCAAGGCGCTTGGTATGAATGAGTGCGAAATTAGAGGATGCCTGGTCGCTCCTAGAGAGACTCGGAGTCTTTCTTTGAGGCCGAAGGGGGGGGGGGTAGGAACAAGTACAAAATTGCCCTGTAGCAAAGGCAACTTTTTCGACCCCCCACCTCCCTTCTCAACCGTCACTGGATCCGCCATTGTCAGTTCGTCCCTAGTGCACTTTTTACAGTTCCGCCCGGAAAACAGCACGCAGTGTTGCCACTTCAGCAGGTCCAAATCCTCATGATGCACTCGTGTTCTCGCAAGGGTTGCCAACGCACAGGGGGCCAGAAGACCGGTGCAGGCGGCCAAAACCTGAGACGCTTCTTGAGCTCCAGAGTCGCTAAATGGGACTCGAACCGAGCGTGTGACCCCACCAATGGATCCCTCGTTCGAAGAGCAATCCATTGGTGGGATCATGCCTACAGTTCGAGTTCCGTTTCGCGACGCCGGAGCGCAAAACCCGTCCCGGACTTTGATTGCCTCCACCTGTCTTCTGGCCCACTATGCGACGTCAGACTGCTATGCCGGCTAGAAAATTTCTCGAGAGGGAAGTCCAGATATTGCCTTGTAGGCAGGCAGGGGTTTGGCAGCCGTTCAAAACTGGCGCTCCGTGGGCACTTATTATTCCTGTTTGTGTGGCAACACTGAGCCAGGAAGGCAGCCGGGCCTGGCGGGGGCGGGGAGGGGCGCGGCCGCCACCACCCCTCTTTCTCCTTCTATCGCTCCGTTCTGATTAGTTTTCTTTGTTTCCCGTCGGCGGCCCTTTCTGCCTAGCAGTGCAGCAGCGGCAGCAAAAAGCTCCTCGGCTTTCAGAGGGAGGCATCCCGGGATGATACCGACCGGTGAGACACTTGGCGACAAGCAAGTCAGTTCCCTTGCGGCTTCAGGGTATGAAGGGTATAACGACACGAAAATTAAAGGGTATAATTGTGATACAGACTTTACGAATACATTACTCACCGTCCGCAGTGGGCCAGAAGACCGGTGGAGGCGGCAAAAGCCCGAGACGTGTGTTGAGCTCCAGATTCGCTTAATGGGACTGGAACCGAACGTGTGACCCCACCAACGGATTCCTCGTTCGGAGAGCGATCCATTGGTGGGGTCACACGTTCGGTTCGAGTCCCTTTAGCGACTCTGGAGCTCAAAACGCGTCTAGAGTTTTGACCGCCTCCACCGGTCTTCTGGCCCACGGTGCCGCCTTGAAGTAAAAGCGAGGTACTCACCCCGAGCAGCAGGCAGCGGTTCCTCCGCCAGACGCCGACGCAGCCCAGCACGGCCGTGGCCACCACCAGCACCCCGGCCAGCGCCAGCACCCAGGCGCACAGCGAGTACGTCACGGTGGACAGCAGCGCCGAGTACGCCAGGTGGTCCGAGATGGTCCACGCGCCCACGCCCAGCACGGCCAGCCCGCCCAGCTGCAACCAAATCACTCATTGACACGCGTGTCCCACAGCGGGCCAGAAGACCGGTGGAGGCGGGCAAAACCCCGGACGCGTTTTGATCTCCAGGGTCGCTAAATGGGACCCGAACCGAACGAGTGACCCCACCAATGGATTGCTCTCGGAACGAAGAATCCATTGGTGGGGTCACACGGTCGGTTCGAGTCCTCTTTAGTGACTCGGGAGCTCAAAACGCGTTTAGAGTTTTGGCCGCCTGCGCCGGCCCTCTGGCCCAGTGTGAGTCGCCTGAAAGGCACGCAACAAGTCGAGGCAACAAGTCGCACTTTGCCCCAGCAGGCCAGTGGGTAGGCAACTTTTCCGACATCGCCCCCTTTGAACTGGACCCGCTCTTGCATGCCGTTGGCAACAACATCGGCCTTCCCACACACTCGCAAGGGGTGACGGGGTCGGGAGCGTTACACTGTTAACGGACAGCCCCCGAGGGGCCGAGGTCTGCCGGCAACGTCGAGGACAGACTTTAGGGCCGGACGGGGGGCGTCCATAACATACCTTGCCCCGACTGGAACGTTATCGGAGACGAACACCCCCGCAGCAGTACCAGCAGACCGCTTCCAAGAGTCGTCACAGCGGAGGAAATCGGAGAAAATTGAGAGAGTACTCTTTTCGTCCGAATGACAGCACCGCTCAGAAAAACCGAACAGACTAAAGTCAGGGGGTGGCAACAGCCTAGTGCGCGCGTGAAGCTATGCGCGCCGCTCGGGCCGGCAAGGAGCGGCCGGGCGGCTGGGCCGCGCGGCCGAACCAAATTAAACAGAACTTTGTCAAAACTGCATCGAACTGAGTAAACGAGGTCATTTTTAGATTCTACGCAAAATTTCCTATCCGTGAGTGACAATGGAATGGACTTTTGGATATGTAAAACAGTTCTAAAATCAATTTGAAAACCAAATTTACGGCACCAGACAGCCGACATGAAGTTTCCCTTTCACTAAAAAAGCTATTTCCGTTCGTTTTAGGTCCATACATACAGCGAGCCGATTGTTGGCCACTATTTTCCGGGTTGCTTGGTACACTTGGAACGCCAATACGACTTCTGTAGCAGAAATGCCGATCCAAAAACTAATTTCCATTTTTGGTCCAAAATTGTATTTTGCAACTTTGGAGGTTAAAAGGACAGTTTGAAATAGGTTTCTCAGCATTGTCAACCTCACCAAGCAACCCAGAATTCAATTCTCTATCGCCCTGCTGTGTTGGATTTGCAAAAGGAGGTCAAACTTCTAATTGAAACGAAAAGGCCCGAAGCGCTGCAAAACCGCCAAAACAGTTCAAGTATTTTGTGGAGCTTAATGTGTGAAAACTATTTCTCAGATTGTAAATCCAACCACACCACCTTGTAGGCCAGTCAATTCTACAGCTCCATTGTAAGTTTCATCGCAATCGGAGACCAAGAGTGAAGGCGGCAGAATATATTTTAAAGTTAGCTGCAAAAATCTGCCGCAGCGATTTCTCATACTTGCGCCCGCTCGACCAATCAACCAAACTGATGGGATTTACAATTATTATAGCTGTCTTTACTCTTGGTCTCCGATTGCGATGAAACTTACAATGGAGCTGTAGAATTGGCTGGCCACAAGGTGGTGTGGTTGGATTTACAATCTGAGAAATAGTTTTCACACATTAAGCTCCACAAAATACTTGAACTGTTTTGGCGGTTTTGCAGCGCTTCGGGCCTTTTCGTTTCAATTAGAAGTTTGACCTCCTTTTGCAAATCCAACACAGCAGGGCGATAGAGAATTGAATTCTGGGTTGCTTGGTGAGGTTGACAATGCTGAGAAACCTATTTCAAACTGTCCTTTTAACCTCCAAAGTTGCAAAATACAATTTTGGACCAAAAAATGGAAATTAGTTTTTGGATCGGCATTTCTGCTACAGAAGTCGTATTGGCGTTCCAAGTGTCCCAAAGCAACCCGGAAAATAGTGGCCAACAATCGGCTCGCTGTATGTATGGACCTAAAACGAACGGAAATAGCTTTTTTAGTGAAAGGAAACTTCAAGTCGGCTGTCTGGTGCCGTAAATTTGGTTTTAAAATTGATTTTAGAACTGTTTACATATCCAAAAGTCCATTCCATTGTCACTCACGGATAGGAAATTTTGCGTAGAATCTAAAATGACCTCGTTTACTCAGTTCGATGCAGTTTTGACAAAGTTCTGTTTAATTTGGTTCGGCCGCGCGGCCCAGCCGCCCGGCCGCTCCTTGCCGGCCCGAGCGGCGCGCATAGCTTCACGCGCGCACTAGGCTGTTGCCACCCCCTGCTAAAGTCGATTCGCCTAAATTGTTTTCACAGTGCGTCTCTCTACGATGGGGTGGGTGGACACACACGTGTCCAAGGGGTAGCGGGATACGCTTTGCTGGAGGCGCGGAGAGGGAGAAGAGAGAGAGAGAGAGAGAGAGAGAGAGAGAGAGAGAGAGGGGAGAGAGAGAGAAGAGAGAGAGAGAGAGAGAGACAGAAGCGGGTGCGAGACAGGGTGACGTCAAAGGAGTGCTTTGAATCGCAGAGACGATCAGGGGCATAAATAACACACACAAACGCACACACATACACAAACGTACACACACATCACCATCACATCACACACACAAACACTCACACGCATTCCCGCGCGCGGGTCAAGGAGCGAAGCGCCTGCGAAGCAGACGATAGACTGTCCCGCCGCACTCCCGCGCGCAACGGGACTGCCTACGCTGCAGGGGCTCGCAGTGTAGGCAACACTGCAGCACGCGGGTGGCCCGCGGGACGGCCCAGGCTGCAGGCGCTACGGCACGTTAGCCGCAAAATTGCGTTACCGAATCAGATTTTGGAAATATTTTGGAAAAAACCGAGAGGGAAACACAGTTGACTGCGCGACTGAAAGATTGGCAGTGTACCTGTACTCTTCTCTCCCGTCTCGGGAAGATGGTATCAATTATCATGACGAAAAATAAGTTGCGCTCCCGCCAAAGTTGCTCCCGGCTTGGAAGTAAAGTTTTTGGATTGCGGAACGCAGATTCGCCGGGCCGCTGCACAGTGGGTCAGAAACCGGTGGAGGCGGCCAAAACTCTAGACGCGTTTTGAATCTCTAGAGTCGCTAAATGGGACTCGAACCGACTGTGTGACCCCACCAATGCATTCCTCGTTCGAAGAGCAATCCATTGATGGGGTCACACGCTCGGTTCGAGCCTCATTTAGCGACTCCGGAGCTCAAACCGCGTCCGGGGTTTTGACCGCCTCCACCGGTCTTCTGGCCCACTGTGCGCGTCCCAGATTGCCCGACAGGCAACAACTTCCTTTTGGCGGCATTGCGTTTCGCTGCCTGGCGGAGTCAAAGGCGATGCGGGTGGCGCTGCGGGCGGGGGCTGCCCACCCCCACCCCACCCCTCATCATCAAAGCTTGAAAAAGATAGATTGATAAATTAAATGAATGAAGGCGGTTCGTCAGGCGGGCTGGCGGTGCGGTGCCCGGGGCGGGGCGGGGCGGGGCGGGGCGGGGCGTATCGGTCGGAGACGTTGTCAGGCAGGCACGACCGTCGCCAAACTCAACTTCTCCTCGTCAAATGACTTGGGAACTGTTTGCAAGATTCGGACTGGCGTTCGTTAGTCGGGGCACACCCCGCCGGCCCGTTCCGAGGGGCGTCGCTGTCGTCTCTCTCTCTCTCTCTCTCTCTCTCTCTCTCTCTCTCTCTCTCTCTCTCTCTCTCTCTCTCAACCCTTTCGGCACGTGCGCATCGTGTGAGTTTTGCCTTCTTCTGTGGCGGTTGTGCCTGGTTGTGGCTGTGTGTCCGGGCAAGGTGGCTCTGGAGTCCTTCCGCTCGGCCGGCCGGCGCGGAAACAGCAGCGAGCAGAAAGGAAGCGGAGACTTAAGGGTGTGCGGTTAGTCCGCGTGGCAGGGCAGAGAGCGCAACAAAACACGGTAATTCCTTGATGAAGCACGCTGTTTTTTCACCCCCTTAATTCCGCGCGCAACTAACACCGCAGCCGCGCGGATTCTCTCCAGACTTTTGCCTTTTTGCGAAGTTCTTCTGCTGTTGTTGTGTTATTTTAACGTTGCACAGCGGGCCAGAAGACCGGTGGAGGCGGACAAAATCCCGGACACGTTTTGAGCTTCAGAGTCGCTAGACAGGACTCGAACCGAACGTGTGACCCCACCGGATGGCTCTCCGAACGAGGAAAACATTGGTGGGGTCACACGTTCGGTTCGAGTCCCATTTATCGACTCTGGAGCTCAAAACGCGTCCGGGATTTTCGCCGCCTCCACCGGTCTTCTGGCCCACTGTGCGTTGGCAGTGTACCGTGAAAGCGCGGCACGCCTTGTCCCGTGCGAGTCCTGTGCGCCGCGGCGGCATGACTGGAAGCACTCCTGCTCCTGTGGGGTCTCCCCCCCCTCTTTCTCTCTCTCTCTCTCTCTCTCTCTCTCTCTCTCTCTCTCTCTCTCTCTCTCTCTCTCTCTCTCTCTCTCTCTCTCTCTCTCTCTCTCTCTCTCAGGTTCGCGTGACCCATAACAGCCGTGCATACACACCGCCCCTAATTACGACTCCGATTCCTTCCCGACTCGACGCTCTAAACGCACGGAGTCCACCACGCGCGCCCCGGTGGTCCGTCGGTCCGTCCGCGTCGGCCGTCGCACAGTGGGCCAGAGGGCCGATGGAGGCGGACCGAGGCGGACAAAACTCTGGACGCATTTTGAGCTCCAGAGTCGCTAAATGGGACTCGAACCGGACGTGTGACCCCACCTATGGATTCCTCGTTCGGAGAGCAACCCATTGGTGGGGTCACACGTTCGGTTCGCGTCCCATTTAGCGACTCTGGAGCTCAAAACGCGTCTAGAGTTTTTTCCGCCTCCACCGGTCTTCTGGCCCACTGTCCGTCGGCGCGAAGCAAGCCTGCTGCAGACCGACTCATCGCTCTGTCTCCCTCGCGCTCATGGCAACGCACCCCTGCAGGCGCGAGAGAGACCGAGCGATGAAAACGACTCTCGGAATCAGTCTGCTGGGCGAAGCCCGCTGCCCGTACAAGGAGCGGCGTTTTATCTACAGACAGCCTGTGAGAAATGGAGCGAGAGAGAGAGAGAGAGAGAGAGAGAGAGAGAGAGAGAGAGAGAGAGAGAGAGAGAGAGAGAGAGAGAGAGAGAGAGAGAGAGAGAGAGAGAGGCAGAGAGGCAGGGGGGATGCAGATGATACTGCGTATATTTGAAGACATGATGGATTGGATGGATGCTGGCACCCCGCACTGCACACGCACACACACAAACACGCACAGAAAGGCACACACACACACGCACAGCGCCATTCGAACCAATCAAAGTCGGCGCCATTTAAGGCACTGGAACTAACACACTGCGACTCGCACTCCGCGATTCACCGTTAATGACAGTAATTGATTCCGATGTCGTGCAAAGACACTGTGACACTGTGGCTCGCTGTGGCGGGACCCAGGACAAACATTTGGGACGTCGCAGCGCGTCGCAGGCACTCACTCGGGTCAACTGGATCCTGGCTTTGGGTCTAACTCTACATTGACAAATCTTTGGAAATTTTTAAAGAACTTGTTGGGGGCAAAAATTCCAGCGGTCTTAGTACAATGCGATGAAAGTGTGATCACTCGAAAGTGATCAAAATTCCATTCACAAGTTTATCATATAGGGACCACAAATCTGACGGCACTCACCAGGAAGACGAGGTTGAACATGTGGAAGAACTCGGCCAGGAAGGAGGCCCCGCAGCACGCGGTGTCCACCGGCTTGCGCGGGCCGGGGCCGCCTGGGTGCCCCCCTGGGGACCGCGGCATCATCTTGGTGTGCTCGCCCACGGCCATCACCACCTGCAGGACACAAAGCGTCAATCGTGAGGCCGGCGTACAGTGGGCCAGAAGACCGGTGGAGGCGGACCCAAACCCCGGACGCGTTTTGAGCTCCAGAGTCGCTAAATGGGACTCGAACCGAACGTGTGACCCCACCAATGGCTTGCTCTCCGAACGAGGAATCCGTTGGTGGGGTCACACGTCCGGTTCGAGTCCCATTTAGCGACTCTGGAGCTCAAAACGCGTCTTGGGTTTGTCCACACACACACATACAGAAACACACACGCCTCCAGCAGGCTGCGAACGGCTGCAAACTGCCACCCGCCACCCCGTCATTTCCCCCGAGAATTTTGGGCGGCGTCCAATCCGTTCTCCATTTGCTGAGGCCGCGGGTTCGACTCCCCCCCTTCCCCCTCCCCCCGGGCTCTTGCTCCCACACACCTACGCCTAATCAATGTCCTTTGCGCGCCAAATTCAAACCGGGCCGAGAACGAGACGGAGTCACCCGCTTAACGGAATGTAAGGTCGTGATGGAAAGGGTACACACGGTTAATCAAACAGACACACACGCGCGCACATGTCACACACACACACACACACACACGAGCGTGCAATCAGGAAGACACAACACAAACACACACGCAGGCCCGGCCACGTGGGGCAAAGCCCGGCAGGGCACATGCACCGGCGGGTAGCTGGCGTGGATGCCTTTTTCCCCACTTTGCCGCTTGCATTTTCCCCGGAAAGCTCTCCGAACGAGCAGTCCATTGGTGGGGTCACACGTTCGGTTTGAGTCCCGTTTAGCGACTCTGGGGCTCAAAACGCGTCCGGGGTTTTGGCCGCCTCCACCGGTCTTCTGGCACACTAGGCCACGGCTTTCGGCGCCGTTGCAGGCCGTGCATTCCCTGCTGATCTATCGAGGCATTTCCCTGGCCATCGATCAGCCAATGGCCGAGCTAGGAATGTCCGGACGTCCGATACAGAAAAGAAAAACGGCCATTTTCGCGGCCATGCAGCGCCGGCATGCCCGCCAGCCCCCGGATTCCACATGGCCATGGTCCAGCCTGGACCATCCGTCCAGGAGGGAGGGAGAGACCACTGTGAAACGAAGTGTGGAGTCTCCAGGTTGAGCCCTTCTGACTTGCTTGAAGCGTGTTCGACTCCAATAGGACTCAAACCGAAGGTGTGAGCCCACCAACGGCTACCTCGTTCGGAGAGCAATCCATTGGTGGGGTCACACATTCGGTTCGAGCCCCATTTAACGACTCTGGAGCTCAAAACGCGTCTAGAGTTCCAGCCGCCTCCACCGGTTTTCTGGTCCACTGTGCAACAAGCTCGCAAGCAGCCTCACATTCGTGGCGCAGTGTACTGCGTACTGCGTTCTCGTCGGCACGTGGCGGCTACCTGCTGGCTGCCTACTCTCGCTCTGTCTCTCTCGCACACTTGGGACGCCCCACGCCAGTGTGAGAGAGACAGAGCAAGGGCCGTTGTGCCGCATCTCGGCGGCGGCATGGCGGCACAGCAGACCTCTCTCTGCCCTCCCTCTCTCTCTCTCTCTCTCTCTCTCTCTCTTTCTCTCCCACTTCTCTCTCTCTCTCTCTCTCTCTCTCTCTCTCTCTCTCTCTCTCTCTCTCTCTCTCTCTCTCTCTCTCACTCCCGGGACTTCCCGCGTGAGAGCGAGAGAAACAGAGGCAGACCTCCCGGCAGAAAAAGAGCGGCACGGTTGTTGTGGAGCAAAACTCACCGCACGTTCAAATTACATGCCGCGCTGCATCACTGGAAAAGGTGTGGGGGGAGGGGAAGGGGGGGGGATGACGGCGTGCACTGTGATGCGTCGGGCTGCTCGGCTCGGCCGAATTGGCTTCGGCCAAAGGCAGCCGCCTCGGCGAGTCGCTTTGAATCGCCGCGGAGACTTCATTGTACGGCGCGTGCAATTTTCGCCTCCTCCGCCGTGCCACGGCCGCACAGTGGGCTAGAAGACCGGTGGAGGCGGCCAAAATCCCGGACGCGTTTTGAGCTCCAGAGTCGCTAAATGGGACTCGAACCGAACGTGTGACCCCACCAATGGATTGCTCACCGAACGAGGAATCCATTGGTGGGGTCACACGTTCGGTTCGAGTCCTGTTTAGCGACTGCTCAAAACGCCTCAGAAGTTTTGGCCGCCTTCTCCGGTCCTCTGACCCACTCCCTCTGTGGAGTTCTGCACACTGGGTTTCGCGGTGTGGCGGGACCAGAATGCGCTTCCATTGCGCGTACCACTCGAAAATTGAAATGATTTCGCATTTTAAAGTCCCATCTCCCCGGCAACGAGTTTCATGAGTTTTAGAGACGAGGCACGTCTGTCCGCCCGGCGCGCGCTCTGCCGGAAACGCACTTTTTAAACTGCGATCCTGCGCGCGACGCGGCGCGCCACCCAAATTTTGTTTCCGTGTGTTTCAAACTTGTTGCATGCGGTTTATTTTCGTTTATTTTTCCGTGTTTTGCCGAAATGAAATCCTCTAGCAAGCCGAGGCGCCCATTACGTCCTCATTAGCGCTGCCGCTGGACTTTGGCTGGAATTTCGGGCAGGCGCGTCCGTGGCGTCCACGACGGGGCCAGAAGACCGGTGGAGCCGGCCAAAACTCTAGACGCGTTTTGAGCTCCAGAGTCGCTAAACATGGCTCGAACTGAACGTGTGACCCCACCAATGGATTCCACGCTCGGAGAGCAATCCATTGGTGGGGTCACACGTTCGGTTCCAGTTCCATTTAGCGACACTGGAGCTCAAAACGCGTCCGGGATTTTGACAGCCTCCACCGGTCTTCTGGCCCACTGCGCTGCGTCCAGGACGGGGGCGTCCACGCGCGGCGAGCACCTGAGCCAACACGCCCCCTATCAGGGCGGGTCCACCGATAACGCACTATCTGTACAGTCACGCACAAAACTGCTCCAGCAGCTCCAGCCGGCTCGACAAAACTTCCGACGATTCCACGTTCCAAGAGTTTTCCCCTCAACCATGCATGCATGCCAAGGGGCAATAACTCCAGCCAAATTTGTGCACCGAAATTCATCAAACATATAAATTTTATTGAAATTCGTTACAATTTATCAAAACTCGACTAAAATTCATCGAAATTCGATTGAAATTCATCGAAATTTGACTGAAATTCCTCGAACTTTGACTGAAGTTCATCGAAATTCGACTGAAATTCATTGGATTTGTACACCGAAATTCACATTTGATTTCCCCTTGATGCATGCATATATAGTTTGCGTCACTTCCCCGTTTAAAATTTGAATTTTTTTTTTGTCAAGTTGGCATCACTCCTCGATGACTCCGGCTCGGCCTAAGTGAAGACACAATGGAGAGTGCGGCGAGGCGGCGGGCACCCCGACGGGGACCCGGCCGGGACCCCGCGGAGTTTGGACGCGTCCGACACACTGCCCCGGGGATTTCGGCCGTTCGGGGGGACGGCTCAATTGTGTGCCCCGGAGTTGATCCGGCCTGGCCGTGCACCAAACACGTAACGGCGGACCGAATCTGCCGTGGGAGGTCACCGATCGTGTCTGTCTGTCTGTCTGTCTGTCTGTCTGTCCGTCAGACATTGACAATGCCGACGACCTCCCCTCCCTCCCTCCCTCTCTTCCCTGTCTCTGTCTGTCTCTCTGTCTGTCTGTCTCTCTCTCTCTCTCTCTCTCTCTCTCTCTCTCTCTCTCTCTCCCCTCCACAATGCAAGGACTAACAACCCTTTTCTTGTTATATTTCTTTTTGTGTTTTGGTCGGGATTTTATTTTTCTAGTGTCCCTCCTCCTCGCGTGGATGCGACCTAATAACAGGCCGTCCACAACAAACCGGCCAATCGGAACAATGGTCGCATTGTGTCAAATGAGTTCATCAGCGCGGCTCGCGCGGCGAGGCTCGGACCAGCCGCCGCCTCCTGGCTCCTTCGCCTGGCCGCGGCACGGCCTGGAGCACGTCCAGAGAAGCCCGGAAACATTCACCGCCCAAACGGGCCAGATGTCGCTTATCACACGTGTGACCCCACCAATGGATTCCTCGTTCGGAGAGCAATCCATTGGTGGGGTCACACGTTCGATTCGAGTCCCATCTAGCGACTCTGGAGCTCAAAACACGTCCGGGATTTTGACCGCCTCCCCGGTCTTCTGGCCCACTGTGCAGTGCAACCCTGCGCACGCGGCTGATGCTTTCGAACGGGTGGCAACAGGCACTGTACCGCCCTTGCTCTTACGCGTGTGCACTGAGTCGGGGTTAATCCCGTTTTTGCGCTATAAATACTACAACAGCAGCCTCGACCCCTTACTCCGTTGTATTGACGGATGACGTTCCGACGCGCCGCGCCCTGCTCCCCGACGCCTGGCGCGGCGAAGCCCCTAGTTCAAGTGCGACCGAACAAAGTTTGCGCTTCCTGAGTTGACAACCACACGGGTATCGAGTGGGGTCTCTCTGTCTTAGTCTGTCTGTCTGTCTCTGTCTGTCTGTCTGTCTGTCTGTCTGTCTGTCTGACTCTCTCTAACCCTTTTGCCGGGGAGATGCGCGTGCGTGCGTTCGCTCCTGTCTAAAAATAGGTAGGGGGCCAAAAGACTGACCCAGAGAGGAAGATGCACGAGGGGATCTCCCTTGAGGGGGGGGGGAGAGAGAGAGAGAGAGAGAGAGAGAGAGAGAGAGAGAGAGAGAGAGAGAGAGAGAGAGAGAGAGAGAGAGAGAGAGAGAGAGAAAGAACGCAGAGGTGAGTCACTCAAAATTTGGCGCGGGCGGAACTAGACCGGAAGTAACAGCCAGCCACCGCCTGCGAGCTACAGATGGAACACAGTCAAAGTGCGGGCCGTGCCCCGGCGGGGCCCTGGCGGTCTTTGGTCCTTCTCCCACAGCGTTTAACGTCGCTCTGTCCCTCTCGCACCCGTACGGCCGGCCTCGCGAGTGCGAGAGAGACAGAGTCGCTCGCTCTGGCGAGTGCAGGCCAGCAGACCCGGGCCGCCGTTTCCTGCTCTGTTTACGTCCGAGGGCCCAGGGCAGCCCAGGG